ACTTTCTTGTGCTTTTTCTTCTTAATTTCCTCTCCTTTCACTTTATGTGTACTTGCATCCTCTTTTATCACCCCTTTTTGGGCACTTTCATGTTTATTTTTTCCCCTTTCATTTCTTTCCAAAGCAACTTTCTCCTCCTCATCTTTCGTGTTTCTTCTTTTCTCATTATTTTTATTCTTCTTTGCTTTTACCATCTTGTCCTTTGTTGTTTGGGGATCTTCCCTCCCATTCCTCTCTCTGTCTTTTGTATCTTGATCATTTTTTGCTCTTCTTTTCCGGCTTTTTTCTCTTTTCTGAGATCTGGTCTTCGATTCTTTTTCTGTTTTGACTGATCTGGATGCTTTCTTTTGGCTACCATTTCGTTTTGTTTCCCTATTTTCTCTGTCAGCATCCCTCCCTTTCCCACGATGGCTTTCCCTCTTATTCCTCGCTCGAAAGTCTTCATCACCTGCAAAACATACATGTTATTTTTCCTCAGCTCTACAAATATTATTTACTTTATTTTTTATTCATAGGTGTGATAATCCTGTTATAAATCAGGAGAAAGGGTTAACTACTAGAAATGGTTGTGTGATGTCAGCAAAAATGAAGAGAAAACAGCCCAAAACACACTATTCCTACAGATAAAGTACATTAAACTCCAATAAAAAAAGACAACCCTCCACTCTTTCTCATGCTTGCTGCCAGTGAAATGGCTTAAAGGACAAAAGATGATTCGTGTATTATTTCAAGAAACCACTTACCTTCAAATTCCAGACAAATGTCAACTGTGGAAGAAAGATAATTTCACCTTGATAATCATAAACATCATAGAATGAGGATGTCATTTTATTCATGTCAGATATGGGTCTCCGTTTTTCAACGTCTCTTAGAAATTATAACCCAAATTATATGCTTCTGTCATGAAAGAGATATAAGTTTAATTAATCTATTCAAAACTACTTCAACAATTAAAACTGCTGTTTGTTGCACCTTAATGTGTCAGAGGTTGAGAAAACAATGCACAGGAATGATTGCTCTTGGTTGCACTGATGGTTTCATTCACTGTTCTTGAAACATATTCTCGGTCAAATAACTGGTCTTACTAACATAAATTATGAAATGCCACTGTATAACAACGTAATAAAAACATAAATAACCTCTTACTCCTTCAGTGACCTCAGCCTTATAAATCCAGCCCATGCCTTTCAGCCTCAGCACCACCTGAAACCTTTCACTGATTGAGCCATACTTGCCTTATTGTGCACCTGGCACTGTTCTGCTGCTGTAAAGAGGGATAAAGAGGAAAATAGAGAGGGCCGCTGATAGGCTGAGCAGATATTTATGTAGTCAACCTTTTGATGTGTGTCTTTAGTGTAACTGGAGTGGGCAGCATAGGGGTCATTACGGCCGGGTGCAGCAGAGAAGTACAAAAGACACACACAATGGCCTAATGAAGGGAGGCAGGGTGGCCAAGCCCACAAGGACACGGGAGACAGCTGAGGGCCAGGGGCCAGATACCAAAAATGCAGGAGGGTGGGCAGCAGACGATGTGTGAATTGGAAATATTTAAGAGTGATTCCGTTGTTTTTGTGTTGTTCTTCCTGCATGAGGTATTGTACAACTGACTCATTATCAATTTACTAAACATAACACATAATGAGTATTTTCAGTCATTAAAACAACATCACATATACTGTGTAAAGTCTTTATGTAAATTACCGTTCACATTCACATTTCCTTATGACCATGCTGCCATGAATTATTCAAAGAAATGTAAGTGCCTCTTTTAGTGAAACCCCTGCCAGAAATCTTGTTTACAGAGCTGAACAGCAACTTTGCGTCAGAAATACAAACATAGTCATGGTCTTACTGTTATCCTCAGAAGCGATCAGACTGTCTCGAGGCATCTTCCTATCATGGTCGTGTAGCTCTCAGAACAGAAGCTCCAGCAGCCAGAGGTGATGTGACCTGGACAGGGGTGAGCTGCAGGGTGTCAGTGGTGTTGCTGCTCCTGTAGTTTCTGCATCCCAGGTAAGTATTCACCTATCCAAGTCTTTGCCATCAGAAAGAGGAGTGTGTGTGTGAGGGCGTATCGGTATGTGTGCTAAAAAGCCGGTGCATGATGACCAACTTGCATGAGAAGTTTACTTTTTTCTCCCCACCCATCGACCCGAAGCAGGGACAATGATACCCTGGAAACTCTAGAACCATGCAATTTCACAAACAATCAATAATTCAAAACAGTTATGAGTGCCTTTATGCAGCTGTGAGCCCATTTGTAAAAGATTATGTGTGTGTGTGCATGTGCACTTCCACGGATGTGGGTGAAAGACAAAAACATGAAGGCAGCAGGCCAAAGTGAGGATCAGGATTCTTTGTATGATGACTTTCATTGTATCATAATAGATGACTGGGGTTCACGGAGAAGTGACGGTGAAAAAGAATCACTTTCACCTCATGTTTGAAGCTGAATGCCTGCATGCTCAATAATCTGATTTTCAATTTTGCCAAAAACTACTATGGTAACAACTACATAATGTATTATTGTATACATATCTTTTTCAGTTTTACAGATTCTGTTTTGCAGCTCTTTTGAAGTGTGATTACAAAATATATCTCACTTAAAAAAAAAAAAATTCCTGAGGGGCATAGGCAGATATACATCTGTTCTGAAACTTGCATCTTTGAGTGTTACAAGTTGGATTCTAATGTACAACAAAAAACAAATTCCTGCTGAAAATGTTCAAAATGTTCAAACTACAGAATCCAGATTTACCTGTTTAGAAACAATACGTATCTTTTGGAATTAAACAGTCTTTCCCAAATAGTGTTGTAGTCTTGAACCACTTTAACCTCATTAGCGACCTGTGATTAATGTGAAGATGCCACAGTCTCACCATATGTGTGTTTAAAAATGAATATATTTGCAGGTGTCATTAACACAGACAAGTGTTTTAACACAGCTTTATGACTCAGAGGTCAATAAGTACTATTATATAAATGCTCAGCCAAAAGAATAATATATGCTTTTATATATTTTACACCAAGTTAAAAGATGCATGACAAACAACTGACATGATCAAATTAAAAGATTGGTTTAGGATTTATGAACCTGTAGGTGGTGTTGTTGTACCACATAGATTGCCGTCATGCAAAGATAAGAAGACATCCCTTTGCTTTCTTAAAGAAATTATCAATAATTATTTTCTTGTGTTTGCATGCATCTGTGATTGAGCAGGATGCCAAGAGAATCACACATGTAGGCATGGCTATGTGAATATCTGTCACTGTGTGAATGTGTTGTGGAGAAAAGGAGCACAGAAAATATATCAGTTTGCCTGTGTTAAAGTTAGCCCTGGCTAAGAGAGAGTCATTGAACAGGCCTATAATGTAGGTCACCAGGGCCAATTGAGCAGGGGGCAATCAAAACAACTGGAAAAACGGACCTTACTCTAGATGTTAGAGAAGAGCTTAGATCACTGCACATGGCTCAGTCGTCTATGGGTTGGTGAAAAATATTAACAAACATGAGCTCGTTATAAATTAAACTGAGGACAGTGTTTTACATTTAGTTTAATAGCTGAACTATGAAAATGTATCTATTCAGCCATGCAGACACTTTATCTGCAAACACTTCGAGAAAACTGTTGGTCGGGATGATCTACTTAATTCACAGTGAACGTTTTTTCCTGAAACTGAAGCAAAGGAACTGAACTATGCAGGATATCCTATGAGCAGTTCATTTCAGGGTTAACATAGTGTGAAAGCTGACATCCTGCACGCAACTAATTTAAAATCACTAATTGACCTGCGCAGGTCTTTGGACTGTCAGAGGGATCTGAGGAAAGCTCCCACACAGAGGACACCTGAGCCAACTCACAGCCCTCTCATGAGGTGAGTGCAAAGCACAGCCCCATGTTGATGCTTGAAAACATGATCAATTTAAATCGGTTTCATATCCATACTGGTGTAACAACAGGGAATTCTGAGAGTGTGTCAATGTACACAAACGGCAGTATTTGTTTGTAATTGTTGGACTTTATTGAAATGTTACATTGATTCCAACTAATCAGTGAGCAGGAGTTTGACTGTAACTCATCAGTCTGGTGATGTGATGAAGTGAAGCATGTACAAAATGATCTGGTGGCTGCAAGGCTCCCTGACTCCCAATGGAGACCAGAGGGGTAAGAGGAGCAGGAAAGACTATGTGGAAGCTTATATATACGTATAGTGAGGTCTAAAGGCACTAAATTGTACAATGCTTAAAATATATTCTCTGTGTTCACTAAAAACAAATTTATCTGAAGAGTTATGGAGTAAAAAAAATTATCACTGGCACCACTTTTCAACAGTTAAAAGACTAAAGCTGAAAACTATATGTATGGAACGTGACTTGTCCTTCTCTACCCATGAACAAAACACCTGTGAACTTTGTTGGCATTAACGTCTCCTCAGTCACATGTGTGATGGCATTAAGTGTAAAGCAGCAGAGAGCTTTGGCCCTGCGGAAAGCCTGAGCTGTTTTCGTCGGGGAGATGAGACTATAGGTAAATTCAGGTGTGACTCAGACTGTAATCACGTTCTTGCCTGAGGAATTGCATATCGATACATGTACCGAAACATTTTGAATGATGTGTTCTTTAAATGCCTGACGGGTGTTTTACCTGCAGCAATCTGTCATCACACATGACTGGAATAACAGACCTTTTCACTCCAGGAAAACACCGCTGTGGAAGTGTCACCTTCATCAACACTGTGTGTTTTTACTTGGAAGATTAGCCATTCCAGCCTTTCTTCCTGTTCCCCAATGTATAGCTCATGTCTTTGAGTAATTGTTTGTAGAGAACACAAAGAGCCCACAGAAATATATGGAAACAGACATCCTATCAGAATCAAAAGGGAAAATGATACAAGCAGATGCCATACATTTGTGAAAAGGAAGTGTGTACTTTAGTTCTGTGCTCTGTAATTACTGTTTAAATACGTATGGAGGTGTGAGCAAGAGACATAAAGCAAGCATGGTGAGTATGCGTGAGTAAAGGCAGCGTCATCGAGCAGGGAGGCAGACCCTGTCGGACCGGGGGTGTTTTTAAGGGCAGGCCTTGGCAGCTGCAGCTGACAGATTAGTGTGGAGGAGGCGGCGCTTGTCCCTGCAGTGGGAAAAGCACGTGGCTATACCCGTCTGCACGAGGGAGCAGCAACAAAGACCAGCCAGTCTAAAGAACAGAACACAGGACATCTGCTGAGCACACATGTACATGCTCTCACTTTCACACGCACACACACATGTAGGTCATGCACAGTCATTCACAGAGTCAGTGTCATATGTCAGCGGGAACAGGACAAACCCAGGCAGAGCAGTCTGTAAATGGAAACATGGAAACTCATCTTTTTTTCACAACGCTTGAACAGATTGCTGCTTGCATTTCTACCCTCTCTGCTGGTTCACTTCCAAACTTTTTTACATGAACCACGTGCCATACGCTCACACACACACACACCGTGCAAATTCCAACAACTTCCCAGTTTAAGCTTGTGTGTAAAAAAAGAAAAAAAGAAAAGGTTGGTCAAGATAGAAATCATGAGCCAGAGAGGTTTGGAGGACTCCTCCCTGTTCAGAAATAACAAGAAACACATTCATGAGAGTTGAAGGGGAGTTGTTTAGCAGCTCAAACGAGAATGTTGATGGTCAGCAGTTTGAATTTATTTGATCAAGTCTGGGCTTTTTCTTTTCTGTCATTGCTGTATTTATTTTCTTAAGTCTTGTGGTATGTTCGCTATTTCTGTCAAGGAAGCAGGACACAATCCACACTATACAGTTAATGAGACTTTTTTTTTTGCTAGAGTAGACTCAGACACACACGTTGTTGTTCCCTTAAAAGTATGTAATGGTAGACAAGGCAAGCAGAGAAACTGAGTTTTGGAGCAGTGTTTATGGGGAACTTTTCTGCAGTGTTTATCAAGCCCCACACACAGCTTTTGTAAGGGGATAAGCAACCATGTCCACAACTAGCCCTTTTATCAACAGTGTCACCAGACACAGGCGGGCTGTGCCTCTATGTGTGTGTGTGTGTGTGTGTGTGTGTATGTGTGTCGACTGGGCCAATATCTGCCTAGTAACTACAGACAGGCTGCTGCCGATTGTCATAAGTAATCCTCAATCCCTGTCACACATGTACACATGCAAAGTGTAACACAAGCTTCACACAAAAAGAAGGCTGTAAATTGTGCCATCTGTCGTCATGGCAACATTGTCACTTTCAGCCTCACACGTGTATCCATCATTCCCAGGAAAATAAACATATGAACATATACATCTTAAAAACACCCTCATATAGAAAGCCAGACTAAGACAGTGAGGGGGATGGGTAATGATACTAAATACTCAACACCTCCCACCCTCTCCTCAAAGGCCCCCTCTCTCCCTGAAACCGATGAACCTTCACATACTAACCACACACATGCTCCTTCTTTTCTGCTCTGTACAGGCAAGTGTTAACACAACACACACACACAAAGAGCACAGTGTAAAACACAGACAAGGTTTCCTGCTTTCCCCTATCCTCACTGGGATTTGTTTGCTTACATATGACAGGCTTTTGAGCTTGTTTTTGTACAATAGAGAAACTGTGTTACTGTTGTGTTTAGTATCACCGAGAGTAATTTACATGAAAATGCTATACAATGTGAGTCTACAAGCTCTATTCAATTCTGTCCCCACATTGAAAGATCTTAACTGATTGTAGGCAGTTCAGTCAGTATCTAACTCACCTGACAAGTTTGATTACTGCCACATAAGCAGAAAATGTGGTTTCTCTCTTTTAGATTGTATGTAAATCGTATCATGGTTTGCTATTTTGCTTTTAAGCAGTTATCTTGTGAATAGTGCTATTAATCTGTGATCAGTTGCTGGGTCATTCATAGTTCTCTCAGTCTTTGTGAATAGGAGAAACAATTCATGTTCCACCTGATAATGAATGAAACATGCGATTAACTTAAAACATTTGTAACATAGCTATGCATATCTGGCTCAGGATGAGTAGTTAGTTTTAAAAAAAAGCAAGCCAGGTTATAGTGATTCAGTTACAAGTCTCAGTCTGTAAACATATTCATGTTTATGTATTAAATTATACACTAGTGCCACAAAGAGTTTGTTCTGTACATACAGAGACAGGTAAAAGGTTACACTGGAAAAGGCTAGGTGAAAACCCACAGCAGCACTTACTTTTGTTTTCACTTAACTACACTCTTTATCTGCTTTATGTTTGAAACGCACTGTGCAAACTATGGCTTACAGACTGTCCTACCCCTCCATTTTTACTTGAATCCACTCACTGATAGGCTGACAGCATGTTCCCTCAGAGGCACAAGCATTTGTTTACTGCTCAGAACAACCTGGAGTGCCCAGGGACATGTGTGACTTAATGCTGAAAACATAGGGGAATATGTTAAGACTTGTCAAACCTTAGGGCAAAATATAAAACCAACAGAACACACTGCAGTGGATTAGTGAGCACATATTTTTAAAAAGACAGGGCTTTTTCATGACATCTACTGGTGCCCTTATAAGATAAAAATAGAAGTTACGGCAAAACTTCCTAAAAAAAATATGTAAAAAGCCCACGTGATAAGAATTAGAATCTGGGTTTCATGAGAAATGGATGTGGAACCCTACTGTCGCGCAGAAAGCTTTAGACATATCAGAACCAGGAGTCCAAAGTCCAATGTTTAATCCCTTCTACTCAATGACATTTTTGACAAAGTACCAAAAACTGTCTATGGTCTCTTCTATCTGTATCTAACATTTGTGAAATCATCGACCAGGTTGAATTTACTTTATATCATGAAATCCTTTCCGTGAAAGCTGCAGCATAATCCAGGTTTTTGCTACCTGTAAGTAAGAATGTGGATCCAGTCTTAGCGATTCATCAAACCAACACTGTAATTTAACCTCTTATTGGTACATTTAAAAAATTCCCCTAAAAAATATTGAGAATCTGCGGTCTGTGGCCAATACAACCTTGTTTACCACTAAGGTCTATTTCACAATCATTTTCTGATCCTAAAACAACCCAACCCTGTCATGCTACTCAGCACATATTTTTTGTTACCTCCCCTGAGACGTGTTTACACTGCCAACATCATCATATGTGTGTTTATGTGGATTTCTTTTGAGCTTGTTAGCTCTATCTTTTACCCAAATTGACTTGTAAACCTTTGGATTTAGATTATTTTTCTCCAGGGCAGACTTTGGCCTGTACTCATCCTGATTTCTGAGAGCTATATGATGCTTAATATTTTAGGTTGAGGAATGAATTTAATTACATTTTGCTTTAGTTTGACAAGCATCAACAGGGAATCTTTTTGTTTTTGGTATCTCATTCCCCCACAGCTTGTTTGTCGCTGCCTCCTGGAAAACCTATTTACACTCCTGTGCATGTATGACGGAGGACTGGCAGTGACCCCACAACTCTCCCATAACAAACAGGCTTCATATTTCTCAAGTTGTAAATCTGGATTTGTGTTGATCATGAGGTGAGTTACAAAAACGGTCACACATTTAGCAGTTGGGGCCAACAAAAACAGTGTCTCACAATAAACAACTGAAGAAGGAGGCTCTCCTTTCAGTCATCCTTTTTAAAAATCCAGACAATTATCCACTCAGTCCCCCTTTTAGGTGTATTACTCAGAAAAGAGATTCGTGTCCTTGTAGGTGGATGACGAATAGAGGTGTAATAACACAATGTAGTTACTGAGCATGCGCACAGCCCTCCTCTGGCAGAATCGCACAGGGCGCTTGGGTGCTCCGCGGGCGGCCAATGGTGACACGTTGTTATACCCGTGACATCATCCGCCACTCCTCTTACTAAAGAAGGAAACAAACATCCATCCAGAGGGGCCGGGAGACGGCGAGAGGCAGGAGGAAAGGCAGGAGGCCGAAGAAGGGACGATTAAACCCGTCTGGCTGGGAGGACGACGACACATTAACGCTGCTAAGAAGAAAGATAAGGACGCCGCTGGGACCCGAAACCACGAGCTGCCCACTCTCTGCTCACATAAACGGACACTTTTCCTGCCGTCACGAAACACGTCGATTTTTAGCAGGTGATGATCTTGGATTTCGTTTCCTCTTCTTTTTTTTTCCTCTAAAGATTTTTATTTAATTTAGAAGTGAGCCTAGCCTGGCTGGGTAAACAACAACAAGATGGGCGTTTCAGCTGAGATTATGGTTAGTCATGGCGACCTTTAACTGTGGATTTAAAGGTCAGGCGATGTGTGCGTGATGGCTATTGTGTAGTAACCCAGCTTTTTGTCTTTGGACTCTTAAATTGGCATTGCCACCACCACCTGGCTTACCACCTGACTTTAAATATCACAAGTCCTCAAACGTGACTCGTTTGATTCAAGGGGGAAAAACAAGGGAGGGATCTCGCCGCTGCTGGTTGCTGTCTGTTTTTCAGTTTGCCCCGAGCTGGGGGATGGGGAACCAAAGCCTGTTAATTCCTGTCTAGAAATAGAAAATTCATAAGCCGAATTCACCAGTCGAGCCACAGAGTAACGCTCAAATGGCAACCGTGCGTTTGCTTAAACGTTTTGGGAGTGAAATACAGTGGCTGTTGGCCATACTTTCGGCTTGGGGTTCGAGGTTTGCTCGATGTTCGGACCTTCTGGCGTCGCCAAGCCGTTTCTAATGGCTTATGTGTGATTATATAACCGTGGTTGTTCACATTGCCTCGATGAAGAAACTCAGAGAATGAATATTGGTGCAAATGGTGCGTTAAATGTGAGCTAGCGAAACGATGTCTAAACAGGAAGCAGGGAGATTGCAGACAAAGGAAGAAAGAAGAAACAAAGGGAGCAGAGAGAACACTGTCTAGACTCTGGCTTATTAGCGCTGTTGTCTTCCAGTCAGCCCCACGGTTGTATTTTGTTAAAGCACAATATTAAGCCTTTTGTTAAAAAAATGAAACGGGAAAACGGGCTTTTTCTGTACAACCCTCCGGTGTGACTCAGGAGTTTTCAGCCTAGCTGGGCCTGAAATTTGAGCTGCAGCTGATAAAGAAAAAACGCAGACTTCCCCCTTTCTTTGCTAATAATGAACACTTCTGAAAGTATTGTTCGCAGTCTTTTTTAGCTGTCTGCCGCAAGGGCAACACATCAGCATAATTTCAACACCTCCGTTTTCACATTCAACTGCTTGCCTGGCTTAACAGTTTGGGAGAGGAAACTGTGGTGACTGGTGACAAGCCCTGAGCTGGAAAGCCCCTGACTTGCCCTGTTAGCTGTGCTCGAGAATAGGGTTTAATAATCCACTTCAGGATGGTCCCTCTTAAAACTTCTCGTGTGTGTGGTTCAGTTGAAAGGAGACTAGATCTAAGAGCAGGCTACCTGCCAGCTTTTAGCTTATCTCTGCTCTTGAGAGGTCATGGTAAATATTGAAGCAACACGCCTGCTCAGCTGACAGCTGGACTAAACCTACCAGATGAGCCGGACTGTCCATTGTTCCTTTGTCTCAGAAAGATAAATCCTGGTTAATACGTTAGTTGGTGTGGTGGTGTTCCAACCCCCCTTTGTTCAGAGAGAAGTTAGAATGTCCCACTTCACATGCAGCCATTAATACACTGTACTGCTTTAGAAAAAAAAATCTCTCTCCAGTTCCATACTGGCTACCAGTCTTAAGCTCTGTCACATCTGGTGTTTTTAGCAGTCAGCAGTTGAACATGTGACACAAATGACAGAGGTCCTTGTGGTCTCTCCCAAGGAAACACTTTGAGTCTGTGACGAAAGCTTCCGTGCGTGGTGAAAAAGAGACAGAAAGAGCGGTTGGTTGTTGAGCTCAAGTTTTCATGGCACTTGGCTGTTGCGAAAACCTCAAGTGAACTGCCAGGACGTTCCAAAACAAAACACCTGCCAGCCTCTCCTGGAACATTAGGTTCGCCTGCCCTGTTTGTGTCCATGACCAGAATATAAACTCGCCTCACATCAACGCAAGCGAGCAGCTGCTGTGCCGCTTCAGAACGGGGCCAAAGGTTGTGTACAAGGGAAACGCGATGCCGCTGCTGTGTGTGCTGGGCGCTGTCAGATGTGATCAGATGAATTGTTAAACAGCCGAGGCTGGGCTGGCAGACAGGATGCTTCTAACCCAACTAATCTGGGTCTTCCTGTCTGCTGGTTTGTCATTAATCTAGTGGGTTTTGATCTGTGGCCTCAAATGTCTCCCATTATACAACGTCATGGTACTGCGTGTTCTGCCAATTTACTCACATACACATTTGTTTTCTGAGCATGACTGTATGAGTGATGTCACAGGAAGTTTTGCAATACCTCGGTGACGTTGAAAAGGAAGGGGGTGGCCAACATTGTTTAGTCTTGTTTCTTACCATAGAGGCTTTTTGGCACAGAGAGAAACTTATTTTACCCGTTGTGAAATATTTGTATGTTGTTGATAATGATAATAAAGCTGATATTACTACCACTACAACAACAGAGTCAGAGCTCTCTGCTAAGAGGAGGTAAATGACCCAATCTGCGTGGGTTTAGTAGTTATAGCTTGTGACAGTATGCAGCAGGATTTACTCAATAACCTTCTGTGGTGTTTCATGTTAATCAAGGGTTGAAATATGGTTGTTTTTACTCATGAATAACAAATTCACCATTTCGTCATTCGTCGGGGGAATAACTGTGAGCTCATGGCTGATCTGAACACTCGGGTTGCGTTTTAGGAATAGATCTTTGTCAGAGCTGCCTCCAGCACTAATGATCTTAGGAAAGGGGGAGGACACACTACACAGAGCTAGGGGACAGTGGTGAGTCCAGCTTTTGCCAAAGGTGCTGAACAAGGGCACGGGGATTGTTGTTTGGTCTCTGGACTTCCCGTGGAGAAGCGCTTATTGTTGTTGTATTCAGGCCATGGGCAAGTCGGAACAGAGAGACCTGCTGTTTTTATACAACTCCTGTTATCTGTCAGCCTTGCTCTTAAAAACACGATCAGCCGCAAACAGGTTTGTCATCTTCTCTTCCCTTTTTTAACCTATGTTTTAAAGGTGTTGGTGCATGCACACAAATGTTCTCTATATGCCTTTCTAATAAGCCTTCTCACCCTCAGAATGGCCCAAGAGACGAACCAGAGCCCGGTTCCCATGCTTTGTGCCACAGGCTGCGGCTTCTATGGCAACCCAAGAACCAATGGCATGTGCTCGGTGTGCTACAAGGAGCACCTGAATCGACAGCAGAGCAGTGACCGCATGAGCCCGATGAGCCCGATGAGTAAGCCCACGCACTAAATAGAGAAACTCCCCTCACGGAAAACTGAAATGACGATTCACTTTTCTTCAGCCAGTTCATGTTCAGCAAAATGCAAGACGTGATACAGGAGGCTTGTTTTTGTAACCCTTAAGATATTTTAGAAAAATGTATTGAATAGATATTGTACAATATTTCACTTAACTAATTGGACCACTGTTTATTCCAGATGTTGCTGTTTTAACTGACCGTTCTCTGTTCTCATTAAGGTGCTGCTGCTAGTCCTACCTCAGAGGCCTCAGCCATCCAGAGACTAGAAGCCAGTCTAGCTAAGGTTGATGCCTCCCCTGCCTCTTCACCAGACATGTCTAGGTCAGTACGGGCAGCAAATATTAAGTCTTTTCAAATGTTGGACTGGGTGATGTGGCTAAATTCCTTCTTCAAAACCTCCAGAACTGTTCAAGGATCTCTTCCTGTGACTCAACAAATGACAGAGATGAGCATCTCGAATGAGGACAAGCCTGAACCCCTTGAGCCAGGTAAAAAAAAAAAGACAAAAAAAAACATTAACAGTATTGTATAACAGACATATTTTCAGAGCTGTTATGACACACAGGAACACACACACAGATGAAAGCTTGCAGACGTCTTAGGGCAAACTTTGCTTTGTAGGACTCACTGCAGCCTCAGTTTATTTTTGACGCTTTGCTGCATACCTGGAACTCAACAGTTGGTTTTGCTTACAAGCTCCAAGAAAAAGAGGCTGCCTAAAAATAAACCTGTTTAAAGATACCTCTGCACAGGGGAAGGCTCCATGTCTCTCTGGGAGCAGTGTGCTGTTTTCTGGCAAGAAAAAGGGACAAATATAGTGAATAAACATAAAAGTTACTGTAATTTTGTGTGTTAGTTTTTTAGGACTTGTGTTCACTGTTTTGTTGTAATGATTTTTTTCACATGATTTGTCCTTCTTTGTGTGTGTACAGTTGTAAGCCAGCCTGCCGCTTCTAGTCCTACTCCTGTAGCTTCTTCCAGTGTTGAAGAAAGCCAGGGTGACACCCCCAAGCCTAAGAAAAATAGATGCTTCATGTGCCGCAAAAGAGTTGGCCTTACAGGTATGCTGGGAACACAAGCAACCTCTTTCTGTCACTTTTCAGCGCAGAACTGTAGCTTTACTGGACCTAGGTGGGGGGAAAAGGGATTTGGCTCCAACTCACCTAATTTAATCTTTCTGGCTCTTATGCTTCCAGGGTTTGACTGTCGTTGTGGCAACCTGTTCTGCGGCATCCATCGATACTCCGACAAGCACAACTGTCCCTATGATTACAAGGCCGAGGCTGCTGCCAAGATCCGTAAAGAGAATCCTGTGGTTGTGGCTGACAAGATCCAGAGAATATAGATTTGACACATTGGCAGTGTTGGAAACAACAAACCACCTTGACAGAGACTGCAGTATGAGTGTGAACCTTTCAAATGCGCATGAGTGGCTAACTGAGGATCGAAAGGACTTGATTTACAAATTACAACCTCAAGGAAATTATGGGGGAAAAAAGAAGAAAAAATGGAAAAGATCCTGTGTGATGGAGATGCATGAATGATCACTTCTTCTGTTTTTTTTTTAATTCATTAGTTTGTTTGATCCTGTTTTCTGTGGTGTGACTTTGCCGCTGTTGAGTCCTTTTCTTTCTTTCTAAGAATATGTATTGTCTTATAAAGAGCAGACCAGGCTAAATGTCCAGGATATGCTGTGCTCCTCTCACCCCTACCAGGCGCCATTTTGTGCCAAACAGTCATTTTACTCAGACCCCGTGTCGGACACATACAGGTCATTGAAAGCGTTCAGAAGCGGCCCACGCGAGTTGTGTCCCCTCGACTTCCCCGCCACACGCTCCGTTTGCACTGGAGTGGGCCGTCGTCGCCCTCCATGCACAGGAGGGTTTGTTACTTTGTCTCTCCTAGCTTTACCTACCTCACAGCTGCTGTGGTAAGCCGCGTTGTCTTCCCCTTTACTTTACCGTCAGCTTTCACCCGAGCAGGACTGTGGATCATCCCGACTGTGGCCCTCAGACCGCCTACTCCCCGTTGACATTGATTGTTTGCTTGTCATGAGTTCCTAGTGATGAGGTATCTTGCTAGCTTCAGACAAATGACTCCACTTTACAATGAAACTCAACATTCACAATAGATATAAACGTAATGCAGCGTTTCCCTCAACTGGTTCAAGATGACATCGTTCTCAGACGCCTGGTGCAGGGCTGTGTGTGTGTGTGTGTGTGTGTGGCCTGAGAGGAAGGACGGCACCCTTTCCTGGTGGTCCTGGTGGGTGGATTTAGGCTACAATATTGAAGGGGCATAAATGAATGGAATAAATGCATGTGTTACTCTTCATCTGCATTAGTGTTTCAGAAATATCACTCAGCTTAGGGTTTTGGATATTTTATCTGCTGGGTAACAATTATCTGACATGTTTTAACTTTTATTTTCCTTTCTCTTTGTACTGATCTTGGTACAAGGATTCAGTGCATTTGTGGAATTAGTTTTAATCTGTATGCGCTAACATAACAGTCATATGAGCACAGTATGTGTGTGTGTGTGTGTGTATGTGTGATATGTTGTATGGATGTATTGTCTTCTCCCATAAAATGTGTTTTAGTTGTGGAGCTACCGGTTTTATCAGCACATGTTTACAGAATTACAGGAGCATGCCAGAGCTAGACTTATGAAAAATAATAGAAACCAAGTTAGATGTAACTCTTCATCCGTCTAACGGCTAATGGTCTGTGTGTCTGCTATAGAACACCATAGAGAAGCGCGTGCGTGTATTTGTGAGCGTGCACATACCTGTGCAAAGGTGTGTTTGCAATGGCTGCCTGACACATGTATGTTTTTGACCTGTGTTACTTTTCTCCTGTGAGAATGTTTTTCATTTAAATAACTGTATCCGTTTGAGTTGTTTTTTTTGTTTCGTTTTTTTTTTTCCTTTTCTGACTTAGTTATATGCAAATTTGTACAAAAAAGAAAAAAACAACAAACTGTGTTGATATTTATGTATTACATATAATCTTGCTATCCAGCATTACAACAGAATAGTATCATGTAAATAAAACTGTACAGAGAGACATAACCAAGCCTCATTGTCATGACTTGTAGCGCACACATGTTGGTGGAGTTTTGGGGTGTTTGCTTTACAGCTGCAATAAACCGCTAACCTCTCTTTCTTATGTGGAAAAATCACCAGGCCCTAAGGGAGTTTAGATAGAACAAAGAGGTTTCATCCTTTAAGTGAACAGAGAATTAGTGTTGGCGATGACAAGAATAGTGTAGTGAGCTGCAGCTTCACTGTGAGGTGCCTTACCTCGACTGACCCAACCTCAGACCCAACCGCGTACACCTCCCGCTGCAGCCCCGCTCAAACCTCGTCACACAGGAAGTATTAATCCCTGGACCCTGGAAGAATGTGATCCTGTTCCACTTTATCTTGGCTAATGCTTGACACGCATGGCTGTTGGAGAGACGTGCTTTTCTCACACTGCTGTTGGGAGATTCAGGACGGTGTGTGTTCACAGATGGCATCACAGCAGCAGCTGCTCAGACAGCTTAGTTCTACTAGTGGGGTTTGAGTGGCCGAGAGCTACAAGGGTCACATTGTCTGAGCACAGGTTTTATTAAAAAAAATAAAAAACAACAGAAAATGTCTATAAAATCTAAACAGTCGCCTTAAACACACAGTCCTCACGTGTGTGTCCTTGTGTGATCTATACTCTCCTTGTTGCCAGTATGGAAAAGATTCAAACATGTTGCAAACAGGAACTTTGTATCACACACGTCACAGCCATGTTATCTGGGTCTTGCTGCTCAGCTTTTTTGTTCTCTGCTTTTATTAATACAAAATAATGTTTTTCAAATATTAAGTATGAGCTCTCCAGACTCTCCTGTGTCCTCCCACCTTCCAAAAACATGCATGTTATGTTAACTGGATGGATGGATATTAAGTAGGAGGCAGTACCATGAGCAATGTATGAGTAGAAACAGCTAGAGACATAATTATGAATGAGTCATGGAGCAACACATTGCAAATGCTGCCATCTGGATGTGAAGCCTGGAACAGGCAACTTGATACATTTACCAATTCGGTGTGGAATTTATCTAATGTAATTGCATAAAAACTGCTCAAATTAATTGTCATTCCACAAATATTAAATTATGTTTACCTTTTATATTAACAAAGCAAAATATAATTGAGATGTTTAAATTTAGACTCACATTTATCAACCGTTTGCGATTAATTGTTTTCACATATTTCATAGGCAGCTATTGTACAAGCTATTTGTTTAACATGACTTGTTTGACTTGAGGCACAGCATTGTTATACCCATAAATAACTAGAAAAGGTGTAACTACACTATATTTACAGTGCACATTTCAAGAACAGTTGTAAGAAAGAATGATGGTAATACAAATCAAAACAAAACCCTAAAAACAAGGCGTCAAACCAGCAACTAACTCGTTTTTTAAGAAGTCTGCAATGTTCACAGTCCTCAAGTTCAATGGCAGAGAGTTTAGGGTTAAGAATCTCAAAAGTGCTATCATTTTTTGTTCTGGAACAAGCTAAAGGGACAACAAACAACCCCTTATTAGAGAAGATTACGATGTTGCAATGCTTGTTGCAAATTCAGTGCAATCTCAAAAATGAACAGGGTAGACAAGCATATTAAACAGGAAAAACTGGTGAGAACAAGAACTAACTAAACTAGTGCGTGCCAAGTATCTGTTACATGTCACCACCCTCCTCAGTTTAGTTTCTCCTCAGTTTCTTCTTTTCTTTCTACACTAAATGTTAGGGAAACAGAAATTAAAACAAGTCCAGTCTACTATAGAAAATGCCTCCATCAGAAATGTTTTGAAAGAACATAAATTAAGCCGAAAAACAAAAAGAATAACATCTACGAAAGACCCCAAATCATTATTTAATACTGCCTTTAAGTCATTTTTGTAATTTTACACAATACTTGAACTATCGATCTGTTCAAAACTGTGAGGCTTAAATGGTGGCGCTAGGGGGCGCTGCTTCCCTTTTTGTTTTTTATTTTTTGTGTGCCCTTTGACACCGGAAAAGGAAGTCTGCTGCAGCTTGTTGTGCGCTCGTGCTAGCAACGGTATTGTTACGTATGGAAAAGTGTTTTCTTATATGTAATTTAGCGACATTTTGAAGAAGCTTATGTGTAAAACCTAAAACCTTTACCGATGCGAACAGCGTTTCATTAAAAAGGCAGAGTGAAGATAACTTCACTGAACTTCTAGAGTCCGCCTGCTAATTCGGAAAGTGTGGTCATACCCGAAAGAAAAGTCGCACCATGGCGGATGTAACCGCTCGTAGCCTGCAGTATGAGTACAAAGCGGTAAGTAGCTTTTTAAGGGTATGAAGTTATGAAAACTGAGATAATGTCTGCATAAATGACTAATCCCATGTATCGGTTTTAATTTAAGAAGTTTAACTTTTGTTTATCCAGCTGTCCTAGCCTTGCGGGTTACGAAGGGCTAGCTAGCTGGAGCTGCACAGCGTGTCTAAACGAGGTTCATTTGGTTTTATTTTGTTTGGCTCTTAGAACTCAAACTTGGTGTTGCAAGCTGATCGCTCTCTTATCGACCGAACTCGGAGAGATGAACCCACCGGAGAGGTACTGTCGTTGGTGGGCAAGCTGGAAGGGACCAAGATGGGTGACAAGGCTCAGAGGACCAAACCGCAGAGGCTGGAAGAGAGACGAGACAAGTCAGTGCAGCTTTGTGTTTTCTTATTAATGCTTACTTATTTTTTACTGACTACAACCTTTAAAAAAACTACATTACTTTAAGCAACTCTAGCTACCAAATAGCTCTTTAAAATGGTCGAGCTTTCAGTAGAAGTTAGCCTATGAAAATGATCAATCATGGAAATAGAAAAGAGTTACTTTAATTTATCATCAACAAAAGCCCTAATAGACATTTGTCATTCAGTGAATTCACCACCCTCAAATCCAGCTGTGCAAGCAGCATAAATGCAAATCAATCATGGTACACAAAATAATTATCATCTCAGTAATAGGGTAAAATTCCAGGATTTTTATTAACTAGCAAATCTTTCTACCTGGAACACATTTGTTTTTTAAAAGGTTAAGGAAAGAATGGACATTTATTGGTCAAATCTAGGTTGTTAAGCACCAAAGACTTCGTGCTTCTGTAATTTTATTCCCCTCAATCTCAGAAATAAGCCCCATATATAATTACTTCTTTCAGGAGTTTGTACTAAAAGGGTCAGAACATTATATTATCTTTTTATTATATACAGTAGTAATAATGCTCTGCTCTGTGGAAAGTATTACTATCTTTCATCTGTTCTATTTTGTTTGTTCAACAGGAGGCGGAAAAGAGATGAGGACAGGCATGACATCAATAAAATGAAAGGCTTTACACTCCTGTCTGAAGGCATCGATGAAATGGTGGGAATCGTGTACAAGCCTAAAACCAAAGAAACCAGAGAGACCTATGAAGTGTTGCTCAGTTTCATTCATGCTGCTTTAGGAGATCAGGTGAGCAGCTGTCATAAAAATTAAAAAAATCCTGCCTCTGCTGTGGATTGTTATCCAATAGCATATGTGAAACTTCACTCTGTTATGTTTTGCAGCCTCGAGACATTCTGTGTGGAGCAGCTGACGAAGTTTTAGCTGTGCTAAAGAATGATAAAATGAGGGATAAGGAAAGGCGACGTGAAGTTGAGCAGCTTCTTGGACCTTCTGATGACACACGCTATCACGTCCTGGTCAACCTGGGAAAGAAGATTTCAGACTATGGAGGAGACAAGGATTTACAAAACATGGGTGAGCGCCCATGTAATGAAGCATGTTTAGAAAAAGAATGTATGCTCGTATTCCTCTGTATATGTAGGACTCTTTTTAAGGAGCATTTTGTTATTTATCAATAGATGACAACATTGATGAAACGTATGGAGTCAACGTGCAGTTTGAATCTGATGAGGAGGTGAGAACGTTGTCTGGTGTTTCAAATATTCATGTTTTTTATGTCAGCATTTTAGTTGGAGCTTCCATGTTGAATCTTTAAAACACTCAGTTTAGGTTGTGTCGCTGTCACTGTTGTTTTGTTCTTCTACAGGAAGGGGATGAAGATGTTTTTGGTGAAGTGAGAGATGACCATTCGGATGAAGACAGTGAAGGAGAGGAGGCGGGAGTAACCACCACGCTTTCAGCCAATGTAAGAGCACCACCTGCGTCCTTTTTGGCTCTTTGAGATGTTTGTTTTTAAGTGTTCTCTTCTGAATTAAAAGCCTAATAACAAATACTCTTCAAAAAGCTTGGCGAAACGGGCGATGTGATGACAGTGAAGAAAAAGGATTTACATCCTCGGGACATCGATGCCTTTTGGCTCCAGCGTCAGCTCAGTCGTTTCTACGACGATGCCATTGTCTCGCAAAAAAAGGCTGACGAAGTACTAGAAATCCTCAAAGTACGTATTTAACCTTGTTGGTGACCTATAAGGGCATTTGTTTAGGTTTTTATTTATTTATTTTCTAATGCCTTACATACCTTTGCTGTTCCACAGACAGCCAGCGATGACAGGGAATGTGAGAACCAGCTGGTGTTGCTGTTGGGCTTTAACACCTTTGACTTCATTAAAATCCTCCGTCAGCATCGTCGCATGAGTAAGTCAGTCCAGTTGGGTCAGAGACACCGAATGTTTTGTCTGATGCTCTTTGAGGATCTTCATGTTTTCCCTCTTCCATCTGACCAACAGTTCAGTATTGCACCATGCTGGCGAGCGCTCAAAGCGAGGCTGAGAAAGAACGGATCATAAACAAGATGGAGTCTGATCAGGAACTGTCCAAGATTCTGTATCAGCTTCAGGAGACGGAGAAGGAGGACATTATCAGGGTGAGCCATCTAGTTTGACGGTGTGAACACTAACAGGATGTCTTTGTATGGCAACTCAGCATATATTTTTTTCCTTTTTTGTTCTTTAGGAAGAGCAATCTCGCAGGGAGAGGGTGCGGAAGTCTCGCGTGGATGACTTGGAGGCCATGGACATTGACCATGGAGAGGTAAACATCTACTCAATCACCAACAACAGTTTCGGACTGTTATTGTATACAAATGAGTGTGTTTGTAATTAGGTTTTACAAACACTAATAAAGGTTTTCCAGTTTTTCTACATTCAGGATGAATCAATAAATCTCTTAACTGTCAGATATTTCTTTCAGTCTCTGTGAGATTTTCCCCTCAATTGTTATTCACTGGAAAGGCCACCTGTCTTAACAAAGAAAAATGAAAAAAGAGCAATCCAATGCAATGTTACATAGGATTTATGTGTGCATTTAAACAGTCAGCAAAGGCTTTTCTGTAAAGTGTCAGATTCAAGATTAAACACTCACATACTGCTCTCCAGAGGCAGTTTGGGGGGTTCTGACCAATATGAAACAGCTATGCACTTCTAACATCTATTCTCCTTATTCTGCAGTCAATGGTGCCCCGGCAGCTTCTAGACCTTGATGACTTGGCCTTCACCCAGGGTAGCCATTTCATGGCAAACAAACGTTGCCAGCTGCCAGATGGTTCTTTCCGCAAGCAGCGGAAAGGTTATGAGGAAGTCCACGTGCCTGCTCTGAAACCAAAGCCATTTGCTGATGATGAGGTTGGTCGGTTTATCTCACAGTTAGGAATATCTGGCACTACACCCAATGTGTAAAGCTTATTCTGTGAAGCAGATATCACATGTCTGCATGTCCTACATTAAACATTTTGTTATGCCATCAGGTCCTCGTCTCCATTGACAAGTTGCCCAAGTATGCCCAGGCTGGATTCGAAGGGTTCAAAACTCTTAACCGTATCCAGAGCAAGTTGTTTAAGACGGCCATGGAAACGGATGAAAACCTGCTCGTGTGTGCCCCAACGGTGAGCAAACTCGGTTGCCTCTAAAAGCAGTTCTGCAGTTATCCTTAAGTGTGTCCTCATCTGTAATGTGTGTGTTTGCTGTGCACAGGGAGCCGGAAAGACCAACGTTGCCCTGATGGCAATGCTGAGGGAAATTGGGAAGCACATAAATCTGGATGGGACGATCAATGTGGACGACTTTAAAATAATCTACATTGCTCCCATGCGTTCGCTGGTGCAGGAGATGGTGGGAAGCTTCAGCAAGGTAAGCACTGCTCGGGCACCTCAGGGATGTTTGCACATTTGCAGGGTAAAGATTCACTTCGTACCGTTTCACTGATCTTCTGTCAGAGATTGGCGAGTTACGGCATCACAGTGTCGGAGCTGACAGGAGACCACCAGCTCTGCAAAGAGGAGATCAACGCCACTCAAATCATTGTTTGCACCCCCGAGAAATGGGACATCATCACGCGGAAAGGCGGCGAGCGCACCTACACCCAGCTCGTACGCCTCATCATCATCGTAAGTGTAGTCCCAAAGCACACACACCCGGTTCATTTTTCAGGAGAACTAAGTGAATGTCGTTCAGGATGAAATCCACCTGCTGCACGACGACCGGGGGCCTGTGCTGGAATCTCTGGTGGCCAGGACCATCCGTAACGTGGAGCTGACCCAGGAGGACGTGCGGCTGCTGGGCCTCAGCGCCACACTGCCCAACTATGAAGACGTGGCCACCTGCCTGCGGGTAGACCCTGCAAAGGGACTCTTCTACTTTGACAACAGGTTTTTGCTTCTTTTTGTTTTTTGAGAGAGAAAATTGTTATGAATTCATTACTGGAGTTTAGAAAAGCTCTTTTCCCCCCTTCTGCTCTGTGGTCACTGGTGTCTGTACTGCTTTCTTTTACTGTAGTTTTCGCCCCGTGCCCTTGGAGCAAACTTATGTCGGCATTACAGAGAAGAAGGCCATCAAGCGTTTTCAGATCATGAATGAGATTGTGTATGAAAAGATAATGGAGCATGCAGGAAAGAACCAGGTGAGCAGAGTCTGACTCAGCCATATTTCCAGTTTGATCCTTCTCTGCATACTTGATGACAAGGCACCAATTTACAACAACGTGGGTTCAAGTGTTCATACTCACTTTCTTGCCAACAGGTGCTGGTATTTGTCCACTCCAGGAAGGAGACTGGAAAGACTGCAAGGGCCATAAGAGATATGTGTCTGGAGAAGGATACCCTGGGCCTCTTCCTCAGAGAAGGCTCTGCATCCACTGAAGTGCTAAGAACTGAAGCTGAGCAGTGCAAGGTAGGAAAATGTCAGGAATCTAAGCATTGAAAAAGAAAAAAGCTTCCGGTGTTGAGCTCTCGATCGGAGTGACGGATTGAACTCGTTCTTTTAGAACCTGGAGCTGAAAGATCTGCTCCCTTACGGCTTCGCCATCCACCACGCTGGAATGACCAGAGTCGACCGTACGCTGGTGGAGGATCTGTTTGCTGATCGGCACATCCAGGTTCTGGTGTCCACGGCCACTCTGGCTTGGGGTGTCAACTTGCCAGCACACACCGTCATCATCAAAGGAACCCAAGTCTACAGTCCCGAAAAGGGCCGATGGACAGAGCTGGGAGCCCTGGATATCTTACAGGTCTGTTTGCAGCCGCCTCTAGCGAAGTCCTCTGTCTTATAAAACACACGCGCAGCAGTGACTGAAGTGAATCATGGCTGGATTTAGATGCTTGGACGAGCCGGCCGCCCCCAGTATGACACCAAAGGAGAGGGTATCCTGATCACGTCTCATGGAGAGCTGCAGTATTACCTGTCCCTGCTCAACCAGCAGCTGCCCATCGAGAGTCAGATGGTGGCCAAGCTCCCGGACATGCTGAATGCGGAGATTGTACTGGGCAACGTGCAGACCGTAAAGGTTCGTAACTTCCGTCTGCCATGTGATCTATCCATGGAGTGCCTTTATAAATTTAGCCGCCAATTTTGGTGTTCTGATTTGTTTGTTCTGTTTTGGCAGGACGCCGTAAACTGGCTGGGCTACACGTACCTGTACGTGCGCTTGCTCCGCAACCCCACCCTGTACGGCGTCTCTCACGACGACCGGAGTTCTGACCCGCTGCTGGAGAGGCGCCGGATGGACCTTATTCACACAGCGGCCAACGTCCTGGACAAGAACAGCCTCATCAAATACGACAAGCGGACCGGCAGCTTCCAGGTACCCGCAGCCGGGCCGAGCCAGCTTTTCTTCAGCGTTTGAAGGGATTCTTATGTTGAGAGGTTGGAGCTTCTTATTTTAAGATTTTTGTTCAATTTTGTCTCATTACCTGAAGGTTACGGACCTGGGGCGCATTGCCAGTCACTTCTACATCACTCATGACTCAATTCAGACCTACAACCAGCTTCTGAAACCCACTCTCAGTGAGATCGAACTCTTCCGAGTGTTTTCACTGTCCTCGGAGTTCAGGAACATCAACGTCAGAGAGGTGCGCTGAGTCCTGGTCCAAACGAAGCCTGCAGGTAAACCTTAAAACCTGCTGATTTAGGATGTTTGGTGTTTTTAGGAGGAGAAACTGGAGCTGCAGAAGCTACTGGAAAGAGTTCCAATTCCTGTGAAGGAGAGCATTGAGGAGCCTAGTGCTAAGGTAAGAAGAGGACAGACTGATTCAGCATCAACCAGAAGTTTGAAGACTGTTGAATGTGTGTATTTATGGTTGACTAAATGCACTTAATTTCAATTTGTTTGCTTTGTGTTCTCAGATTAATGTGCTGCTCCAGGCCTACATCTCTCAGCTCAAACTTGAAGGCTTTGCTTTGATGGCAGATATGGTCTATGTCACACAGGTACAGCAGCGCTGATGGCTCTTCCTTTGCTTTCCCCTACGTTGTAACAGCATTATTTTGTTTGATCTAATTGACAGAAATGCCGGTCTTTGTATATCTGTAGTGTGCATTTGATGAGGGTTGTCTTTTTTCTGCTTTCTTTTATCCTTCAGAGTGCTGGACGCTTGATGAGGGCCATATTTGAGATTGTGCTGAACCGGGGCTGGGCTCAACTCACAGACAAGACCATGAATCTCTGCAAGATGATCGATAAGAGAATGTCAGTATAGTTTTTATCGTTAAGTTAGATGTATGTACAGCATTCAGACTGCTGACGGTTTGTGTCCATGTTCGCTCCAGGTGGCAGTCAATGTCTCCTCTGCGGCAGTTCAAGAAACTGCCAGAGGAAGTTATTAAGAAGATCGAGAAGAAAAACTTCCCCTTTGAACGTCTTTATGACCTCAACCATAACGAGATTGGTGAGTTTTCTCCCTCTGGCATCAGTCTACGGAGGTCTTTCTCCTGCCTGCAGAGGTGTGAGAAGCATGTGGTGTTCTTCTCTGTTCAGGGGAGCTGATCCGAATGCCGAAGATGGGGAAAACCATTCACAAATACGTCCACCAGTTCCCCCGACTGGACCTGGCCGTCCACATACAGCCAATCACCCGTTCCACACTTAAAGTGGAGCTCACCGTCACACCTGACTTCCAGTGGGATGACAAGGTCTGTGGCGAGCCATGACGCCGATCTGCACAGCATGTTTTAGTTCCTGCTTCTAGCAGCCTTTTCTTCCCTCAGATCCACGGGTCGTCCGAAGCTTTCTGGATCCTGGTTGAAGATGTGGACAGCGAGGTCATCCTCCATCACGAGTACTTCCTCCTTAAAGCCAAGTACGCCCAGGACGAGCACCTGGTGACATTCTTCGTCCCCGTGTTTGAGCCTCTGCCGCCGCAGTATTTCATCCGAGTGGTCTCAGACCGATGGCTCTGTAAGCAGCTCCAGTGGAAAGTGTCTCAGGATTATCCAGCTTTACACGGAGCACCTCGGCTAACTTTTTGCTTTTGTTTTGTTTTTTCTCAGCCTGCGAGACTCAGCTCCCAGTGTCCTTCCGTCATCTCATTTTACCAGAGAAGTACCCCCCACCCACGGAGCTGCTGGACCTGCAGCCGCTGCCCGTCACCGCTCTCAGGAACTCTGCCTTTGAGGCTCTCTACCAGAACAAGTTCCCCTTCTTTAACCCCATTCAGACACAAGGTACACAATCTGCATTTTTCATTACATGTGCTTCATGGAATGATTAGACCTCCTCGTGGACATTAACAGTTTGTTTCCCTAATTTTTTTCTTCTTGTCTTTCAGTCTTCAACGCTGTGTACAACAGTGATGATAATGTGTTTGTTGGCGCTCCCACCGGCAGTGGAAAGACCATCTGTGCAGAGTTTGCCATTCTGAGAATGCTGCTGCACAACGCTGAAGGCCGCTGTGTGTACATCACCCCAATGGAGGCGCTGGCCGAGCAGGTTCGTCAAGACCGTGGAAGCAGACGCTCAGTCGTGCAGCTTTATGTTGAATGAAAATGAAAAGGCTGCATAATGACACGCAACTGGGTCTTTCAGGTGTTTGTTGACTGGCACCAGAAGTTCCAGGACATCCTGAACAAGAAGGTGGTGCTGCTGACAGGAGAGACCAGCACAGACCTGAAACTCCTGGGAAAAGGGGACATTATTGTCAGCACCCCTGACAAATGGGACATCCTGTCTCGCCGCTGGAAGCAGAGGAAGAACGTCCAGAATGTCAGCCTTTTCATCGTGGATGAGACGCACCTTATAGGTGGAGAAAATGGAGTAAGAACCCCGGACCTCCTGGCTCTGTGTTGTGGCTTTTCTGTGCTGTAGATGTGAGGCTTGCACACCGATGGGGTTTCATAACCAACTGAGGTCATGTTCTTGTTTCCTTAGCCTGTGCTGGAGGTCATCTGCTCCAGGATGAGATACATCTCCTCTCAGATTGAGCGACCCATTCGCATCGTGGCGCTCAGCTCATCTTTGTCCAACGCCAAAGATGTAGCCCACTGGCTGGGCTGCAGCACCACGGCCACGTTCAACTTCCACCCCAACGTCAGACCCGTGCCTCTGGAGCTGCACATCCAGGTCTGTAGACCCAGTGGCAGCCTTCAATGTTCGCTCACAAAGTGGCTAAATGTGTCAGATCTCCAATTTACCATTCCATTACCTTTCTGTTGGCTGTAGGGTTTCAATGTCAGTCACACTCAGACCCGCCTGCTGTCCATGGCTAAGCCGGTATATCACGCCATCATGAAGCACTCTCCCTCTAAGCCGGCGGTGGTGTTCGTCCCGTCCCGCAGACAGACTCGGCTCACTGCCATTGACATCCTCACTTTCTGTGCTGCTGACGTGGTTCCTCAGAGGTCAGTGAGACTCATCTGTGTAAATGTAGGAAAACATTTTCTTTCATTTTATAAATTACATAATTTTAATGAAGATTATTTGTCTCTGTAGATTCTTGCACTGCACTGAGAAAGACCTAGCTCCCTTCCTGGACAAAATTAACGATCCCACTCTAAAAGAGACTCTGGCCAACGGCGTGGGATACCTGCACGAGGGCCTGTCTCCAATCGAACGCAAAATAGTGGAGCAGCTCTTCAACTCTGGTACGAGTCCCTCCTCCTCCTTGCTGTCTGGACAGCTTGGAGGCTCAGGGTTGAGAAAACCCTAAAGAAGTCTGAGAAATGTTTTCTTTTGATCCGAGTACAGGCGCAGTTCAGGTGGTGGTATCCTCCCGCTCGCTCTGCTGGGGCATCAACATCTCTGCGCATCTGGTCATCGTCATGGACACGCAGTACTACAACGGAAAAATCCACGCGTAAGCCCCCCCTACAAATCTAACTTCCAGCTGTCTGAAAAGTGTTTCCAGGCATTCTCAAACGCACGTTTTTTGGGATTTAATTTCACATCTCTTTCACAGATATGTGGACTATCCAATATATGACGTCCTGCAGATGGTGGGCAAAGCCAACAGACCCATGCTGGATGACGAGGGCCGCTGCGTCATCATGTGTCAGGGCTCCAAGAAGGTAGAGACGGATGCGCTGTTTCCTTTATGAAAGCAGCAACTGGCCAACAACAAAGACTTAACTGTCTGTCGCTTCTTAAAAGGACTTCTTCAAAAAGTTCCTGTACGAGCCTCTGCCCGTGGAGTCCCACTTGGATCACTGCCTCCATGACCACTTCAACGCCGAGATTGTTACCAAGACGGTGGAGAACAAACAAGACGCAGTGGACTACCTGACATGGACCTTCCTCTACCGCCGCATGACGCAGAACCCAAACTACTACAACCTGCAAGGTGAGTGGGGCCCTCTAAAGGAGCTGCAGCGGCGGAGCACAGCCTGCAGATGTGGAGTTTGACGCGCTGCGGCCTCTCTTCCCGTCAGGCATGTCCCATCGCCACCTCTCCGACCACCTTTCCGAGCTGGTGGAGAACACCTTGCACGACTTGGAGCAGTCCAAATGCATCAGCATCGAGGATGAAATGGATGTGGCGCCTCTCAATTTGGGCATGATCGCCGCCTATTACTACATCAACTACACCACCATCGGTTCGTAGCAGCACGTCCGCCTGCCCTCCCCATGGTCCAGTCACTGCTCTTGTCGCCGTTCCTCACCGCATGGCTTTGATTTTTGTTTCCAACAGAGCTGTTCAGCATGTCCCTTAATGCCAAGACCAAGATCCGAGGCTTGATTGAGATCATCTCCAATGCTGCCGAGTACAAGCACATTCCCATCAGGCACCACGAGGATGCTCTTCTCAGACAGGTGAGCCGAGGTTAACCAAACACCGCTCTGCATTGGGACAGTTACAGGTCTTTCACTGAGGTTTAACAAACTTTATTTTTTCCTACAGCTGGCACAGAAAGTGCCGCACAAACTGAACAACCCCAAGTTCAACGATCCCCACGTGAAGACGAACCTGCTCCTCCAAGCTCATCTGTCCCGGATGCAGCTGAGTGCTGAGCTGCAGTCGGACACAGAGGAGATCCTGAGCAAGGTACATACAGTTAGGCATTTCTGACATGGTCACATTTCTGGCTTTGATGGGCGTGTAATGAGCACATGTGCTGTCTCCAGGCGGTCCGTCTGATCCAGGCCTGCGTGGATGTGCTGTCCAGTAACGGCTGGCTGAGTCCTGCGCTGGCTGCTATGGAGCTGGCCCAGATGGTCACCCAGGCCATGTGGTCCAAGGACTCGTACCTGAAACAGCTGCCCTTCTTCACCTCAGAGCACATCAAGCGCTGCACAGATAAGGCAAGGGGCTCTGCTACATGTCTGGAAAAGCCTTCAGTACTGCTGGCATTCCTATTAAAAACTGACCTGGTTTTCTCTGCTCTGCGCTTCAGGGTGTGGAGAGCATCTTCGACATCATGGAAATGGAAGATGAGGACAGAACCGGTTTGCTGCAGCTCTCAGACGCACAGATGGCCGACGTGGCTCGTTTCTGTAACCGCTACCCCAACATCGAGCTGTCGTACGAGGTGGCCGAAAAGGACAACATCAAGAGGTCTGCTCTCCGCCTCTGTCTGTGACAGCTGAGGAAAAAAGAAATGTAGCTTTTTTGTTTCTGAACAAGCACACTTATGAAGAGTCCTCTGAAAAACAGCATCTGCTTCCTGGTTTCTTCACAGTGGCAGTCCAGTTCTGGTCCAGGTTCAGCTGGAGCGAGAGGAAGAGGTGACGGGTCCTGTCATCGCACCGCTCTTCCCTCAGGTTAGTTCCACCACTCAAATCAGAACCATCAGGCTTTCCTCCTTCTACTAACATGTAGTCACTGAGTCTCTGGTACCGTTTCAGAAACGTGAGGAGGGCTGGTGGGTGGTGATTGGAGATCCCAAGTCCAACAGCCTCATCTCCATCAAGAGGCTGACCCTTCAGCAGAAGGCCAAGGTGAGTGCTTCCCCAACATTCAGAGCAGACACCCCCGTCAAACCACCAGAGTTGTGATCTCGTTTTGTACATCCATCTGCAGGTGAAGCTGGACTTTGTGGCACCGGCGATGGGCATCCACAACTACACGCTGTACTTCATGAGCGACGCATACATGGGCTGTGACCAGGAGTACAAGTTCAGCGTGGACGTGAAGGAAGCCGACAGCGACGGAGATAGTGACTCAGACTAATCAGTAACTTTCACTGTTTTCCAACTTTGTTCAGATAAAAGGGGATTTGTAATGGGGTTTTTTCCATTTTATTCCTGTAGATATTTTGACTGTAAACATGTGGTTTTTGCTCTAGAAGTTTGTGTCATTTTATTCAGTAATCACCTGATTAAACACCAGTCCAGAATGACAGTGTACAAGATCTGATCACTGTTTATATAACCGGATCAGATACCTTCTCTGAAGTGTAAGTCTGTGCTTCATCTTTGAGCTTTGAGTTTTAAAACACCTCTGAAGCTGACCTGCTCTTTAAAAATTTGCGCTGATTCGGACTTAGTTTAAAGAATTCCTTTTTTTCTTCTTCTGTGTTGGTCTAAATGTTTTTAAATGACGTGCTATCTAAAGTCTTTTTTTTTTTCCAATAAAAAGAAATCCCATTCTTAAATTGTTTAACATTTATTTATACAAACATACTTATCAATTTGTCATTTTCCCCGTTATGAGCTACGAGAGCACAGGATGCAGGCAGCGGTATTGTCATGACAAACATTGACATGACAGGAATCATTTGATGCTGAGCTGAGTTAAACAAGGTTTTCAGATTAACTGAAGACATGTTACAGGGCAGGACTTTCAAGACCGTATTCTCAATGTATTTGAAAAAACAAACGAGATCAGGCCTCCTTCTGGAACCTCCAAATGGCAATATCTCCATCGTCACTGCAGGAGGCCAGCAGTCCGGCCTCCTTTGGGTTCCAGGCGACACAGTTGACATCCTGGTTGTGAGCTTTGGTGGCCTGAGCAGCCAGCGAGAACACCGGCTCGTCAGGAGGGGCCGTGGGATCCTCCGTGAACACTCGGACGGCGTCGTCACCACAGGCAGTTGCCAGGGCACCAGTTAGTCTACACCTGAGCAGAGATGTCATATTCAAGTGCCTTTAGACCTTTAAAATGCAATCCCCTCCATTTATGAATTAATTCTGTGTGACGACCATGCTTTCCTAACTTTAACCACAATTAACCTGCCTGATCTGTACTATTGTATGGAAATCTGTTCAGCCTTACCAGGCAATATCATATACAGTTCGTCCATGATACCCAGACAGAGTGCAGACACACTTCCATGAAAGGTCACCTTTTAACAGAGTAAAAAAAAAACATTGTATCAATGACACTGCTGTGTTTTTTCTCTCGTGAGGAGCAGCTGTCAGTAGCCACTCACCCTGACTGCTTTCAGTTGGATACTCTTTCCAAATCTTCACAGTGCGGTCATCACTGCAGGAGGCCATCCTCTGCCCAATGCCATCAAAACACAAACTCCACACCGTGGATGTGTGTCCCTGTAAGGTCGCTCGACATTCCCAGTCATCATCCTCCTCTTTGTAGATACAGATGTTGTTGTCATAGCTGGCTGAAGCCAAGAGCTGTGGAAAAAACAGTGCGTGTTTCCATGCTGCACCAGACTGGATAATCATACAGGTCGACAGAGTCTGGCCTACCTCTTGAGTTGGATGCCACACAACATGCTTCACATCTTGTGTGTGAGAATTCACAACTGTAACGCACTCGTACTCGTCTTCTTCATCCACTGTGAAACACAAAGAGAAAAATATCAGAGATTGACAGATGGCTTGTTATTTGTGACAATATACTGGGTTTAGCCATGCCACTGATCTGCCGACACGGCAGGTTATCACAAACCTTCCCAGACCCACACACTCTTGTCTCGACTGCATGTCGCCAACAGATTCCCTGAAGGGGCCCAAGCCACGCATTTGACCTCATTTTCGTGCCCTTCCAAAACAGTCAGAGTCTAAAAGAAAAAAGAAAAGTTCTGGGTAAATTGAACAAACACAAAGCTTGTTATCACAGGCTGAACACTAAAATCATATCTTGACCTCAAAGTCATTATCCTTCTTTTTCCAGATGCACGTAGTTGCATCAAAGCTGGCCGAGGCCATGTAATTCCCACATGGAGACCATGCCACTTTCCTCACAGTGCGCTGGTGTCCATCCTGAAGCACACTCTTACATATCCAAGAGTCACCTAAAACCAGAGAGTTACAGTGTTCATGCTGTCATGTATTATACCAAAATGAACATTTGTGAATTTAGAGGAAGTTACAAAAAATGTGAAAACCTCACATGGTTGAATATGACCTGTGACAAATGATTACTATTTAATAATAGCATGCTTTACTTTCAAATGAGTTAAAATGTTCTTTTCCGGTTCAAACTTTCACATTACTTTATTTTATATAACACCAACAGTCAACCAGTTGCAAGAGAGATCAGGGCTGTAGATAAAACCACACCGTTGCTGTCTTATGTAAAGATTACATGCAGCAGAAAAAAGAAGATTACATAAATTCACTTGTAGAAAGCTCACCTTCGCGTCCCCATATCCGGATTGCCCTATCGCCCCCACATGAAGCCAGCAGCGTTCCATTTGGGCTCCAACAAACGAACCAGCACCGAGAGTCGGGATGTGCGCTGAGTCTCTGAACCAGTGACAAACACTCCTTCATTGCTACTTTATGACTGAAGTGTGGGGACTTCTGTCGTTTTCAGTTAACTGAGAATTTAAGCGAGAGACAACCCTATAGACTGTAACTGCTTGCACAAATGAGCAGTAGCGCTATTCTTAATCTCAGTGATTTGTTAGTTTCAAAATATAAATCTAAAAAAAATTATTTTCGCATTAAAGAGCCAAGTATGAAAGTTCACTAAACATCCATATCGGAAATGCGGCCATGTTTGTTCATCTGTGGTTGTTCAAGACGCATTGCATTGTGGGTTCTCTTCCTTCTACAACAGACCAGCAGACCTGTTATATTCCGCTTGTATATTTCAGGATATTCACAGCACCAAATTTCGCGTAATAATACAAAGGGGCAAAAATAAAAGGTTTGGATTAATAATGTTATTGTAATAACACATCCTATTGTCTAATTGTTTTAAAATGAGACACCAGTAGGTGGGAGTCGTGTTTGCGATCTCTAGTGAAGTCACGAAGAAGAATGAGCCGAACAGGAAGTCAATATTTTAGAGGAAACCAGCGTAAGCTGTCTTTTGTTTTGTTTTGTGTTTGTTTTTCTGTACCAAATTACCAGACTTTTGTATAATTGTAACTGGACATTTTACTCGATAAGTTAAGCGTTTTATAGTTTAATTGTATTAAGTTATTTGTCCATAAGTACTGGCGACATTTGGCGTTTGCTGTGAATTAGCTTATTGGGCTAACAACAGAGCTAACAGGCCTAAAGGCCATCTGTTCATTGTGTGCTCGTTAGAAAGTCATACTGTTTTAATCCAGCAGTTGATTTCGGTTCGTAAATATCGGATACCTCAGTGAACAAAGCGCCCGGACTGCTGTCATTCGTTTAATTTCAAACTAAACTCGGCTATACCGGCTAACGGCTTTTATTGTATCGCTGAGTTGTCTGGTCCCAAAATTAGAAACGGGGAGCTGTCAGTAAGTTGACAAAGGGACAGCATCGCTACAAAATAACAAAAGGAGAGCTGGTAGCTATGTACGCCCCGCCGGGTCCAACTGTCCCCGGAGGCCGGAGGAGGAGAACGGGCACTTCACTGCCTAAGCAGCCGGAGCGGAGCCTGGTGTCCGCTCTGCCCGGAGCGCTGTCCATCACGGCGCTTTGCACGGCTCTGGCCGAGCCTGCCTGGCTGCGTGTGCACGGAGGCGCCTGTCCCAAGCAAGAGCTGGGGGTCGCGGATGTGTTGGGCTACATTGATCCCAAGCTTCTGGACGGTGAGGACAAGCCCATTACAAGCCGGAGCGCAGCTTAAGCCGGCGGCTCTGTTTAATGCTTTGTAATGTGACTTTATCCGCAGATTTCTGCGTGAACTCGCAGACGGTCCTGCTGCTGAGGGTAATCGCTGCTTTCTGCTTCCTCGGCATCCTGTGCAGTCTGACTGCTTTCATGCTGGATGTGTTTGGACCCAAACATCCAGCTCTAAAGATCACCCGCAGATATGCCTTTGCACATATACTCACAGGTATTCAGAATAGTATTTGTTTTTCTACCTTTTAGGTGTTTAGAATGTTTTCTAGTTATTGTTTTTCGGGTGAATAAAGACCTATCCTAATTGTTTTCTCTATTTTCACGCAGTGTTGCAGTGTGCCACAGTCATAGGCTTTTGCTACTGGGCCTCGGAGCTGATCTTGTCACTACAGCAGCAACACAAGAAGTACCACGGCTCCCTCATATACGTCACCTTTGCCATCAGCTTCTACCTGGTGGCAGGTGCGGGCGGAGCCTCCATCCTCGCCACGGCTGCAAACCTCTTGCGCCACTACCCCACCGAGGAGGAGGAGCAGGCCTTAGAGCTGCTCTCCGAGATGGACGACAGCAGCGAGACTTTCCCTGCTGATTATGACATTGCCAATCAGTTTCAGCCCCCGCCTGCCTACACGCCCTAATGCCGACAGACTGGCCCAGCTCATGCTTTTCTCTCCCGGCACAGCTACTTGCTTGATGTGCAAACCACACTCTTTCTCAAATGGATATATTTGCAAATACTTTTGGCAATGAACACGGCGTGTGCACAGTTAGTGCACAGGTTCTATGAATGGCGGTGCTTGGGTGCATGAAAGCTTTCTTTAGTGGTGACAGAAATTTAGGAAATGACTCTTACTTCCACCACTGAATCGGCTAGTGATTGCATGTAAATGGCTTTTAGGATCTGGTCCTTACATGTAAAGAAACCTAAACTGCAAGGAGGGCTTAAAGAGGGCTCAACTCCAGAAATTGATTATGCAGGCCCAGCCTGATCTCAGCCACTGTAGAATCAGGATGATTGGACTTGGATGGAGCTTTGTTGAACGGCTTTGTGATTTAATTTGATGTGCTTGCCATGTGTATAATTTTTCATTGTCTTTTTTTTTCTAGCTACACCATAAATTCAGACATACACAGATGAGATTGTTTTAGGCTTTAATTTTGTATAAGTAACAAATGGACCTATTTATTGTGTGTGCGGTCTTTATTTTGCCCATTTTTCTTTTACTTTTTAGGCATCTGCCAGTTACTCATCTGCCCACCTTTGTACTTGAAACAGGAAAGATGTGAGACAGGTCTTTGTGGTGTTTTTGAAAAGGATCATGACATGTTGTGTGTTGACTTGAGAGCGACGTTTAGCGGCAAACCTCACAGCAAAAGTTGGTGTCATGTTTATTGTAATTGATTTTTTAATTTTTTTTTAAGAACCTCCATTTTACCTGGTGATTAGCATTCGTGATAACTTCAGTATGTGGTTTCCATGTATACGTTCTTTTTGTGCAAATTTTTAAGATTTGGTAAGAATCTTTCATGAACGTCCCAAATTAATTTCCATTTTAGGCTTGAATTTGGGACTGATTGATACCGTTTTCAGCTTCTTTTCCTCTCAAATTGACTGTACTTTCATCCTTGTTTTGTAAATATTGATTGTTTATACATAAAGTGGTCACATTAAAATAAATGCCATATTTTGCCTCCCACAGTCATCTGCAGCTCACTTTTGTCTCTTGTCTATTTTCACCGGTAGCTGAGTGCCTTTCACAAAGGGCAGGCTGAAGTTTTGATCTAACGGTGACTTTTCCATCTGTCCGGGATATTTCTGGGATCTCTGTCTAGACGCAACATGGCTTTACAGAGAATAAGAGCCTTACAACCTAATGGACTTTAAAGGGCATGTGGTTAGCTCTGGTGTTTGTATTAAGGTGTTGAAATGTTTTATGATTATTGCACTTTATCAAAAGCCAGATTCTAAATGGGTTAAGGTACCGATTGAGTCTGGAGTTCCTGAAGCCAACGGCTTAAGTGAATCAGAAGAATTAAGTTATTAATAGGAAAGGGTGTTCAGGAAGGGAATAAGTCCAGGTGTGAAAAGACAATGGAGCTTAGGTGGTAACGTCATCTGGCTCCACGCTGATGGTATATATACAGACCGTCTCATCCAGATCAATATCAGGACGAAAGTCTTACGAGCTCTGAGACAAACGTTTCAAATCCAAATTTATTCCCTAAACAAGTCAAGTCATGCTGGCGTCACGGACTTTGCTGTCTAAACAAACCCTGGCAGTTCTTTCTCGCCAGCCCGTCTGCTTTGTGCACCACGGTGACTATGGCAACTGGGGGAACACCAACGTTGCAGTGGTAAGTTAACCTGACCGATATGTGGAACAGTCTGACGTGGACACGGTCATCTGTGAGTTGATGTTTCCCAGGTGTTCTCGGGATGTGGATGGTGGGATGGAACTGACATCCACGAGGGAGTGTAGTGAGTATCAGGATAGCTGGATGCTTTTTTCTTTCATTCAACATGACGGAAGGTTTCACCATGCAGAAATATTAACCGACAGCTCTTGACTCCAGCACCATGTACCACCTGAGCCGAAACGGCGCCCGCTTCGAGATGTTTGCCCCCAATCAGCAGCAGATGCACGTGATGGACCACATCAAAAAGCAGCCTGCCTCCGGCGAGAACCGGTAGGCCCACTCTGTTAGTCCTTCACACCCGTTAGGCTGAAGCCATGTGCTCTGAGACTGTTGTCACTCTGCACGTTCAGAGATCAGACCTGACTCACTCCACATGGTAGTATTTCTGATTATTTCTGGTCCGTAAACAGGAACATGCTGACGGAGTCTGCCCGCTTCGCTCACGGCCAGGGAAAGATGCAAATGCAGGACCTGTCCATGCTGGATGTAAACAGCTTTGACGCCGTCATCTTTCCTGGAGGCCAGGGAGTCACCAAGAATCTGTGAGGATTGCACAAATACTAGCCGATCACAGGGAAACTCTGCAAAGCAGCATGTGGCGTAATGAAACATTTAGGATTAACACAAGCCTCTAAATCTCAACTCTTTAGATCCTCTTTCATGAAGGACGGCAAAGATTGCAAGCTGCATAGTGATGTGGAAAGGGTGCTGAAAGAGTTCCACCGCTCCCGTAAGCCCATTGGGTACGTATCAGTGTTCAGGCAGCAGTCACACAGTCCACTTCAGAGGGGAAACTATTTGGAAATGCTGTGCTGCTTCACAACAAAACTACATTTTTTCACTCAAGCATGAGACAAAATTAGAGATTGTCTCATAGTTAGACTACGTTAAACCAGATGAACATAGGAGACTTCAAATGAGAGCACATGAGAAGTTGGAAAAAGCCAACAGAACAAAAACAAACCTTCATCTATGAAGTGATGAAGTAATCCCTGTTATAGTGACTTTTACTATTCATTTTCCCCCCCGAGTTTGTAAAGCCAATTACCAAACCTTATTGCTGCTTAAGAAAGCCTCAAGCCCTCACAATCCTTTTATTTATGTCTGGGAATCCTATTGTTTTTTGTTTTTTTAACTTTAGGGCTAAAAAGCTGCTTCAAGGACTGCCATAAAGATTGCTTTATTTAAGAAATCATGAAGTGGGAGTCATCACATTGACCCTCGCTGATCCCAGCAGGAGGGCCTGGTTCAGTGAAAATAGTCTTTAGTGTTTTAAGCTGACAAGAAAGCGGCGACACAAATACTCCAACATAATGCGGATCTGGCACAATATGACTGATCCGAGCGCCATGGAGGAGGTGATGAGCTGTAGTCCTATAGGCTGATGGCAAGGTCAGGTAAGAGGGGAGGCATTGAGGATTCCAGGTGGCAAGAGATGTGGGATTACAGGAATTAAAGAGAGGACCTGGAAGCTGAGGAGGAAGAGGTGAAGCCAGAGGTCACCGTGACAACAGGAAGGTGGAATGGCGCGCTGACCTGACCTCGTCCCTTTGTCCAAAAGACAGTAATCCTCACCTTTTACCTTAATACCTGGAAAGACTTTGAGCCCGTGCGGTCAACTTATCTCTTGTCATTGTTATTTTTATCTTACATTAAGTACTGTTGTTGCTTACTGGAACAATAATTCGCCAGAGGATTATTGAAAACTTCAGTCAAATTACTGATGGCTGAATCTTAAAAAGGTTAGCACAGACATCCTCACAAACCTGAACAGAAAATTGGGTGAACTTGTGTTTTGTTATCATAAATTCTTGAATGGATATCAAACATAGCCAAAACTGTCAAAAAGGGCTGCTGTTAAGATGTGTGCATCCACGGAGAGATCAGTCTGTTTTTGACTAACAGAATCCATCAAGCACAGTGTTTAATGTGCCTGGAATTTAAAAGTTTACACACACAGATAAGTTAAAAACATTTAATTTGTCAGTGAAACAGGAGTTTCAACATATCCGTCAAAGTACAGCCGGAAAGTATCCCTCCAACTTTTGTTTTGATGAAAACATGTTCCCATCTTTTCATGATTGCATTCAAAACTGGATACTTCCTTTTGTCATGTTTCTCTCCTTCCTGCTGCTAATGAGAAGGCTATTCTTAGACCCCGATCTGTCTTCCATGTAAGTTCTTGATTGAACCTATAGCTGGTTTTCTGCTCGTCTCTCAGGCTGGCCAGCACGGCCCCTGTGCTGGCCTGCCGCGTGCTGCCCAGCATCGAGGTGACCATGGGCTATGAGCGGGACGACAGCACCCGCTGGGGCAGCTGGCCGTACACCGGCATGGTGCAGACTGTGAAGAGCATGGGGGCTCGCCACAACGGGCACGAGCCCTACATATCCTTCTGAAAAGCCTCACTCTGAATATGCGTCCAAATATCTACATGTTCATCTCACTGTTTGTCTGACGCTAGCTGCTGCTTGTGACCTTAACCCTTTCCCTCCACGAAGCCCATGTGGATGAGAAGAACAAAGTGGTTAGCACTCCATCCTTCATGTGGGAGACGGACTATCACTATCACTACATTTTCGATGGAATTGGAAACATGGTCAAACACGTCATGCGTTTGTCCACCAAGTGAGAGGGAACTTTCAGCTGCCGATGAAAACCCAGAAGCGCGTGCAAAGGCAACTCTGCATTGCTGTGAAACCTTACCTGAAACTTTCTGTAGAATAGAGCTGCTTTGAATAAAGCAAACATCTTAAGTTAAATTCACGCCTCCTCATTATTACCGACACACAACATGCTGCGTGTCATGTGACACATGTCAAAGAAGGGGCAAATCATCCATGAAATACCAATTTTCCGTGATAAACCAACAGTGTTTTAAATGTTTGTAGAACATCTGAAAATAACCTGTTTTCTTTCATAGAATTGGTCGTCAGCATTCAGGCGCCCTGTTAAATGACTTCATCATTAACAAACGGGCGCATTCGCACAAAGCAAGAAAGAATGTTCTCTCAAACTGGAGCATCCAGAATAAAGCAATTTATTCAACATATGAACATATAAAAATGACAAAACCGACATGGTTATAAAAATTTTCCACTTTGTACAAAGCTTCAGAGATGCGTAAAAACTCCACATGAGGGTTTTCGTCTGAGGAAAAACTTAACGACCACACAAACGCTGTCGTGTGCAGCTACAAAGATGTTCTGTAAATCTGGGTGCCGGGTGACATACAAAAACCTCTTATATTTCAGTAGAAAGGTGTGCGGTAGTCAGAAGGGCACAAAATTCATGACAGATTCTTAATCCAACAAAAGAATCCATAATCATTGGAATATTCACAGTGTTGCCTTCACATCCGGGATGTGAAATGTAAACATTGTTGCTCATCGCCACTCATTTCAATAAATACACACACAAAAAAAGAAAGGTGTTGGGTCGTTTGAATCCTTTTAAGGGTTTAGACCTTGACACTGTCCTGTCACTCATTAGCGAATCCATGCGACAACAGATAAGGCAAAACTCTTTTACCGGGCTTCCTTTTGCTTCGTCTAACGTGTGTAACCTGGTGGCAGCGTTAAGGTTTCACTGGTTCTGGAGGAGTGAAGCAGCACTCTTTAACTTTAATGAAATTATTGGATTCATTCGCACAAAACTATATATATAAATATACAAATACACATCTGTACACTTTGAACAAATACTGAGAGGCTGCGGGCAGAGGCAGCCAGCAGGCTCGTGTTCAGCCTAATTCTGGGTCAGCTTAGAGAACGGCAGGATGGTTTTGTAAGTGTCATTTACAGGAATGTCCTACTGATGTGACTGAAAGGACTGATGTGGTGTCAGAGGGGAAGTGGAGGATGTCTGGAGCACCATGTGAGCGACATCAGAGGCATCTTCCTTACTGCTCTGCGCCGCTGGCTTTCAGAGAGCACGCCTTCCTCCGCCCTGTCTTTGTGAGCATTTCATCTTTGTGTGGCTGATTGTCAAGGTTTGAAACAAAAAAAAAACACAATCCAAAAATACAGCAGACAGTTTCTTAGAAAAGTGAGATAAATAATTCCTTCTCAGATTGTTTATGAAAAGCACGTCACAACAAATAGGAAAAAATAAATGTTCAAAACAGAGTGGAACTGCAGTGTGGTAGCTGATGGCGCTGTGTGTGTGTGTCGCATAAAGTTTTGAACATTTCCAGCGTGGTGGACCGTGGCGCGGTCATCTGCTCAGAGATAAATGCTGTTTGGTATCGGAGGGAGAGGCACCTGTAAAGCAGACAGAAGGGGAACAGCAGCATTAGTGGGCAGCCTTTAACACAGTTGAAAGCTTTTCAGCACAAACCCAGCAGCTAAAGTCTCAGCATGCAGAAATTCACAGCTAGCGTGGCAGCAGGTGGGAAAAGGATTCAAGCAGGTGGGGATAAAAACAGAGGGAAAAAATGGAAAAAAAGGAGGAAAGAGGCGAGGAGAGGCAGAGTGACGGACCGAGTTCGGCTGCTAGAGCAGCGCGGAGCTGGCCTCAGAGTCTGAGTGGTGGCCCGGGCCGAAGCAGGGCTCACGGGAACAGACGGACTCCTGCGCCCGCCTGTACTCCTGGTACTCCAGCCGCAGGGCGTTGAAGCGCGCCTCACTTAGCGAGCGGCTGTACTTGCAGCGAGGAGGGTTGGAAACTGGCGGGCTGACTGGGGGGGGCGGGCCTAAGGGGGCATCGGGTACAGGAGAGGCATGGACGGGAATGTCATGGGATGAGCAACCAAAAACAACCACAGCACAGATGAACACATGAAGCTCCCACAGCGGTGCATGCAACCCCGAGAACATGAAAAACAAAACTCACCCTTCTGGTGCCGGTCCTGGAGGCCGCTAGTTTGATCAGATCTGCCCTCCCCCCTGCCGCTCCGAAAACCCGTCTGTGACTGATCAAACTGCGTGGCCTCCAGGACCTCCGGGTCCACACAGGCGTCAGCAGAGTCCCACTCATAACTCTCATCTACTGACGTGTTCCTTCTAACGGGATACATGAGACAAGGGGTCAGAGAGCAGAGACACACCACAGACAGAAACACAAGCAGACATCTGAATGAGAGCTGTTTAGATCCCTGTGTGCGGGGGGGGGGAACCCTCCGGCGGGTTCTTCCTTCCGGGTGTGGGGGTGTTTCACCTTTTCACTCTCCTGTGGGGCGGCTCTGCGTCGGCCCGGTAGCGCTGGTGCTCCTCCGTGGTTTCGGGGGAGCTGAGCAGCGTGGGGGTGATGGACAGGGACTGGCGGAAGAGGCCGGCGCTGCCCCGCCCGCTGCTCTGGCTGGCGTAGCTGGCCCTCCCCGCCTCCCGGCCCTCGCCCTCCCCGCCCCTGTACGCCGCTCTGTCCTGCTCCCTGCAGCTTTCTGCTTCTCGCGGCGGGAAGGCCGGGTAGTAGGGAGAGGGCCAGCTGGTGCCCCTGGGCAGGTAGGACCTTGGGGGGCCTTTCCTGGGGTCCACAGGCCTCGGTCCTTCCCCTCTGGAGCTGTGCCAGTGCTGGTAGTGAGGGACAGGGATGGAAGCGGGCAGGGGCACGTACTGATACTGGCTGGACCTCAGGGGCTCATGGTAGGAGGGGGACCACCGGGACGGCTCGGGGAAAACGGCGGCTTGCCGGCGTGGATCCGAGGGCTCCATGGCAGGAGAGACTGAGGTCTGTCTTGGTGGGTACATAGAGGGAGAGAGGTAGGAGGGACTCGCCAAACATCTCTGTGGATGATGAGGCCTCTCCAAGCTGCCCATACTGGGACGCCTGAATGGAACGTACTCCCTCCAGGACGGGCCCGGCCTGGGGAGGGAGGCCGGCGTGCGGCCTAAGCTGTAGGACTTCACCCTGACGTCCGGGCCGGAGAACTCGTCCCAGTAGCACCTCTCAGAAATATAAGTCCTGGGGCTCTCAAAGTGCTCCCACCTCTGTGAGCCCAGGCTGATGGATTTTTTCAGGAAAGGGCGAGGCTGCCCCACACCGGACAGGGTCCGGCAGGGGCCCATGCTGAAGGACTTCTTGAGAAAGGGCACGGGGGCCTGACTTATCCGGGACACGATGTTGTTCGTCCGGCTTCCCTGAAGCGCTCGTCTTTGGGCCTGCTCTGAGAAGGACTCGCCGCTGTCTGCTAAACTCTGCGAGTGTTTGGACACTATATCCGCCATGTCTTTAGCTGCCCTGAACAACGTGTGTGCTGACCTGTATCCAGGTCTGGACTCTGGCCGGTCCCCGCTGCTACTCCAAGCTCGTATCTTAGTTTTCTCGTCGTAGAGCTGCTTGCAGGTTTTCTCTGGGGCGGGGGAGGATGGCCTTGAGTCATCGGGGAATCTGACTCTGGTCTGCGAGTGGGGCCCACGTCTGCTGCCTTGCTTTTTACTGCCGTCGGATTCAGCCTGTTCTCGACTTGACTGAGTTTCAGGGACGTCCTGAACGTGGACTTCCCAGTTTTGTGGAACGACATCAGGCTTAGCAACTACAGGTTTGTCTGGCCTCAGCTCTGATCTTTCCCCAGATGTAGCCGAGACTTCAGCTTCTTCCCCAGGCTCATCCACGCTCATTTCAATGAAGCCTGGGAGGCTCAGGTACTCCAGAATTGCACTTGTCTGGAGCGGGGACATTTTGGGAGATGGGGCAGCAGGCTTGGTCTTAAAGGAGTCTGAAATCCTGGGCACAGAAACCTGTGACTGGTCACTCTCGACCTCTTCAACCAGGGTTAACGTGGGGACCGGGCTAGGACTGTCCGGGTACAGACATCTGTCGCTCGTCCTGGAGCGTGCTCGGATGCCCTCTCTCTCCATTTCAGAGTAAAGCGTGAGGCTCCTTTGCTCATTGCGACCCGGGGCGTCTCGGTCTTTGGCCTTTGCTCCAACCTCATGACGTCCATAGGGTAAGGTTGAATAACTGGAGGGACTGGGATCCCTTGCGGGTGCGTAGGCCGCCTCTGCGACTCTCCCCCTCTGATGGTGTGAAGCAGACGCAGATCCTGGAGCGCCTCCGTCGTCCATCTGGCCCCTTAAGCTCTGCTCAGCGCTGGACTCTGTGCGCGTGTCAGGCCGGGCTCCCCCCGACGTTTCGAAACACGGGACAGGGGTTTCAGAGGTGACATCGGGGGAGAGCATAGGCAGGGAGGTGTTCTGTGTGACTGGAGAGCGTGGTGAATCCAGAGTGGAATCATCTGCAGTCTCTGCACATGTGCGGCCATGCTGTGAGACCGGTGAGGTGGTCTGGCGAGGGCTCTGGACTGCTATAAGGCTGGTGGCAGACGTCACGGGGCTGATGTCCCACTGTATGTGGCTGGCAGGGCGCCGGTCCAGGGGGCTGCTGGTGCTGCCAAAGTAACATGCCTTCCTGTAGTCCGACACCCGGCTGGTGACCCCCGAGGACCTGCTTTTCTGTCTCACAGTAACATCTTGCAGCTTCCACACAGTCTCTTCCTCTGACTTGAGAGGGTCCCTTTGAGAGCCCTCTCCTTTATCAGCCCGCTGCTCTTCTCTTCCTCGGCCGCGCAGTCTTTGATCTGCCGCATAACTTTTTAACTCCCTCTCGATTTCTTCTCTCTCTTTTGCCAGCTGGACACACTTGTTTACGCTGTCCCTCTCCTGTTCGCTCTCGAGCTGCGAGACCATTGTGCTGTCATCAGTCAAGTGGCTCTCCATGGGCTGGTAGCCTAAAAGGTCCAGTCTGTCCCTGTCCAGACGTTTTGCTTTTCTCCCCAAGCTGGGGAACAGGTCCTCAGCGTTCCCCAGCATGCGATGCCGCCTCAAAGAATCTCTGTTTTTTGTCTCGCTGTTATCCGAACAAAAGCTGGCTCTTTCCAGAAGGGTCTCGGAGCCTTGTTCGTCGTCAGAATAAAAGCACCCGTGGCGGGAGAAGTTTCTGGCCATGGCCCGCACTCTCCCTGGGGAGAGAGGAGGCCTGCTCAGCTCTGGTATGTCCACAGTCAGAGGAGATTCCTTCCTCTCCTCTTTGTCTGAGCTCAAAACGCTGGACTTCGGCGAGTCCCGGTAAGATGTCCGGTTGCTCCCAGAGCCGCTCATTCCACCGTTAATCTGCAGAGCGTCGTTAGAGCGTTTTTTACCGGAGGGACTCGAACCCTCCGGCAGCGGCTGGACAATGAAACGTCCATCTGGGCCTCTGGAAATGGACTCCAGAGCAGTTGGTGAGGGAGCCTGAGAGCCAAGATGGCTCTCAAAGAGTGTGTAATGCGGTGGTGGAGATGCGTTGGACAAAAGTTGTTTCCGCTGGTCGTGGTATTCCCCGCGGCTGCCTTTGTCAAAGGTGGACCGGTTGGACTGTGAACCCGTGGGATTTGGAAAGAAAGGAAGAGGTGGACAGAGCTTCCACTTGAGGACACTGTCTGGGCTGCGAGGAGGTGAGCGAGCTCTGGGAGAGACAGGAAAAAAAGAGAATGAAACAACTTCGATTTCTAATGCTTTTTGCAAATTTTTCTGCAATTAAGATATTTGTGAAATACGACAAAGTAAAGATGCAACAAGTCAGGAAAAAGTAACGCAGAAATGAATGAGAAAATATTGACACTGACTCTTGAGGTGGGCTTTTCTGGAAAGCAGCTGGCAGGTCTACAAAAGAAAGCAGGTAAAAGGTCAGACAGCACCGAGCGCAATGGTCCAGATTATTAACCTGATCCAGCAGATGTGAAACAACAATGATGCATTCACAGAGAAAAACACTGCATGTTTTGCCTTGTCTTTTCTTTCTGCGTCGACGCTGTCTCCTGTGACTCATGTAGCACGCTGTCACCAACGCGAGGATGATGGCCAGAAAGAGGAAGCACACCCCCCCCAACACACCAGCCAACAGCGGTTCAGGGATGACCTCCAAGAAGCTTGGGCGCAGGGGGTAAATCTCCAGCCCTATAACCACAGCAGAGTCATTTCAGCTCTGATAAACAACCAGAACTGCAAAGGTTATTCATGAAAAGAATAAAAGCACCAACAAACAGATAAAGGACGAACCTGCAGTGGACACACTCACAGCCTCACTGGGTTCACTGAGCACTTTGTTACTGCGAGACATCAGCCGCAAATCATAAACACAGTCCTGAAAAAAAAAAAAAACAGTTATGTGATTGACTAAGCCATGACGCAAAAATGTGATGAGGTGCTTTTGTTTTGTAAGTATCATTACCCGGAGCAGTCCTTGCACCAGAAGCTCACTCTGGTTGGCGCTGATGTTGCTGCTGAGGATGACCCACTGGCCCTGGTCCCTGCGGGCCTGCAGCATGAAGCCTGTGAGTGGAGACAGCGGAGCCTCTGGAGGCAACCACTGGAGGAAAACCCCCTGACGAGTCCGGTTTGCTGACAGGAGCAGGGGAGGATCCAGGTTCGACAGGGTGGTGACCGCCGAGGGGGCCTCTGTTGGCACAGCTGGATAGACGGATCAATATGAGTGAAAGGATTCAAACAGCGAGGATGTGAAAAACAGAATATTCAGTCCACTTGCACGAACCTTTGGTTCGCACGGATACAATTTCACTGAAAGGTCCTGATCCAAGTTTATTCTGAGGCAAGACACTGAACTGATAACCAGTGCCAGCAAGCAGCCCAGTCACCAACAGGTAATCTTTGGACGTTGGCACGGGTAGAGACGCCCATTCGTGTTTCCCTCTGGACGTCTGCTTGAACCTACCAGAGTAAAGACAATGACGTTAACAGTTGTTGGCAGAGAATGAAAAGCACTGCTTTGTGTTCTGTGTTACTGACCATACAGTGAACTTTTGGGTGAATCCACCATCAAAGCCCGGGACCCACGACACGTTAGCCTGGTTCATCTCTGTTGTGACAGTCACTGCGGACACAACATGAGGGCTGGTGCCTGACGATGAGAAAGTCACACTTAGTTTAAACCTGCACGTCTGACCAGAACACCATTATGTTTTTACGTTTAAAAAAAAAATGTTAACCCACTTACCCAGCGCCATGACCACAGTGCCCGCGCTGACAGTCGCAACGCGATTGGTGGCCAAGCACTCCCAGCCTCCATGGTGGTCTTTGCTCAGAGGCTGCAGCAGGAGGGACCCGTTAGACAGCACGCTGAATGGCGAACGAGGAGTCGGGCCAATCTGTGGAGAGGAGGGGACAAGAAAATCAAGTGAGGGATCACAGCTGCCTGACATATCCGGGCTCAGAGGAAAATCTTGTCTACCTTGCTCCAGGTTATGTTAGGAGCAGGGTCTCCAATGGCTTCACACGTAATGATCAACTCCCGGCCGACCTCCTGGAGATACTCAGGCAGAGGGGGCACTCGAAATGATGGTGGGTCCTAGAAGAAGGAGAGAGACTTTTATTCGCTGTACAACTATAAAGCATCTCCCCATTAAAGTGGAGCTGAGAATGACAACCTCACCTGCAAAGTGACTTTGGTGGGCTGAGACTGGCCCATGGTACCGTAACTGTTATAGGCTGTGCAGGTGTACATTCCTACAGCGTTGTCATTGGCTGTTGTTATAAAAACAGAGCCCTCTGAGTTCACCATCCAGCCTGGGAACTAAACAGGTGAAAAAAGAGGATACATCAACACGGCTCCAGTTTTTTGGTGAAAATATCTGTCGTGCATTTTGTCTCCATACACATGACTTACATTGTCAAGATTCAAATTCTTTCCATCTTTGGTCCAGTTGACATACAGCACAGGAGGATCAGCCTGAACCGGGCAAATAATAACCCCCTCCATGCCTGCTGGCAAAAATGTTTCCCGAGGCATTCGGCCAACACGCGCAGGATCTAAAACAGGAAGAAGAAATATTAGTCACGGAACAAATGTTCCAGCCCAGCACTGAATGAGAATTCCCCACTACAACCCAGAACTACAGCGCAACAGAGAGGGAGTGGATAAAAAAACTAACGTTTCACTTTTAGATGTGCCGAAGCTGAGGGAGGGGTCAGTAACCCATTAGTTGGGATACAGGTGTAGTTGCCAGCATCCTCTGGGATGAGATTAGGGATTAGAAGTGTTCCATCCACCAAAATCTTCACTCTGGATTTTAAGGACCTGAAGCCAAAAGATTGTATATTTAATGAGTTGAATAGCAACAACCCATTGTTTCATGAAGAAAAGCATTACATGTTTACACATTTTGAAGATGACGCTCTGATCTGAATAACAATCTACTTTGTCTCAGGTCGACAAAGTGCCCATGATCACATGATATAATTATTGTATGAATAATCGAATTAGGAAAAACAACCAATTAACTATTTAAAATGCTAATGTAAGCATTTAATTCGATAAATAAAAATAAGACACATTTAAGTGTATAATTTTGAAGATGAGGACTCACTCAATATGATAAACATTCTGTCCTTGTTTGAGCCACTCGTAGGTGAGGTTTGAAGGGTATGCATCCGCCTGACACTGCAGAACTGCATCCTGAGACATGTTGAGAGTGGTGTCCTCAGGGGAAATGAGGATGATTGGAGGACCTTTTTGGGATCAAAACACACAGATCACTAATGCATATTGTGAAGACTTATGTCATTGCAAGAAACAGACTGTAGGGGGCAGTATAGACATCTGTATGTAACCATGGTTCCCAACCAAATGTAGGTCTCAAGAAAATATATTTATCTTATCTGAAACAGAAGGTTGCTTGTTGGTACTTCGTGTCAACGCTTTTGCTTCACATAAGACATGAAAAGATTCTTGTCTCAGCTCAACACTGACCTTGGACCTGCAGCTCTGTATAGTGGGTCAGGTTCCCCTCGGAGTTGGATACATGGCATTTATACACTCCTGAAATATTTCTAGTGACGGAGGCCAAAGACAAGGTTCCATTGAGCACCTAAGACGGGGAGAGGGCAAAGGGCACATCGATCAAAGAAAAAGAAAAAAGGTGCAGATCGTTTGGGAGCCATGACAAGACAAAAAAGGACACATCAGAGCTGTCATTAAAAAGGTTCAAATAGCCTCCAGCTCACTTTTATTTTTTCGTGTTTCTCTATTAGGCTCTCATCTTTGTGCCAGACAATGGTGGGTCGGGGGTTCCCATGGGCTCCACAGCTCAGAGTGAGTGAGTCTCCGAGCAGAACCTCCACAAAAGTTGGTGGTGTCTTAATAAATACAGGTGGCGCTGTTATAAAGACAGAAAACATTAGTTATGGTTTCCAGCAGAGACAGAAATATGAAATCAGTGCAATCGGTAAGCCGGAGTGAGCCGTTTGTGTGTAAACAATAGGCTCCGTCAGGTCTTGGTTGTGGCTCACAAAACACGATGTTAGATAACATATCTAAATCATATTCAATACATGTGTGATGTAATACTATTATGTATAAAAGTGTCATCTGCAACCTGATGCGGCATAAGCAGGCCTTTCACTCACTGTAATATAATCGTGTCAAACCTTGCTTCATGCTCTCAGTCAAACTCCCAGGTCTGCTTCCACCGAAAAGGAGGCAGCACGTGGGCAAGTGTGAGACTTAAGAGTTCAGAGGTATGTGAGTTAACTTGTTTGGACATTTAACCTTAATCTTCAGCCATGAGACACAGATGCACTGCCCTGCTCTTCAGGTTCAGACAAGACGCAATCACCCTGCACCCAGAGTGTCCCATAGAGCCTGCCCTGCATTGAAATTTGGGAAGCTCAGCTTGCCAGATCCCATGCTGCAACTGTTCTAAATAAGGACAGCGCCGGGATGAGTCCCCAAAACCCTGCAGTGCTGCACCTGTGATGGAGAGAAAGGTCCATGTGCCATTTTGAAAATCGTCTGTTTTGCTGTCCAGGAGAAGGATGCGGCACTCGAACCAGCCCTCGTCCTCCAGGGTCAGCCGTTCCACCAGCAGGGAGGCGTCCCGGGTCAGAGACACACGCCCTGTGCAAGGAAGGGTGTGGGCGGGAGGGAAAAGAGTAAAAGGGGGTCAGCACACACAAGCAGACCGGCAGAGTCAGCATATGTTGGGAGGGAGCTTATCGTGTGGAGCACACGGCCAACTGGTGTCACAGAGGCCATGGTCAAAGTCACAGACACATCGGCACACGGTGTGAAGATCAGAACAAGCCAAATCAGTCCAAGTTTATGAATATATTCATGAGTGGGTTGGAGCATATAAATCTAATTACCTCACTGAATTTGAATGGATGTTGTTGAATAAAGTGGGCATGCCGTTCCCCCTCCACACAGCTTTGTTTGGGCAGCAGCATTTCCCTGTAGTTACAGCAGTGATGCTGCCGGGACCTTTGCCGGCTGACCTGACATAATGTCTGCTGCAGCCACTGAGGGCATAAAACCCGCCCAGCGCACCACTGTGTGGCGCCTGAAAAAAGTCAAATTGAACTACAAGTTGGAAACCTGTAGAAGGACCAGCCAACATGTTGGCATGTTCTTGGGCCTCGTCATGTATGACTGTTTATATGACCTAAACGCAGCGAGCTGAAGGTTTCATTTAGGCCTTGATGCAGACAGCTGTGCTTTCCCCTGCTCTGTCCTGACCCGTGCGCACTGACACTAAATCTTATTTAATCCGAGGAGGTGCTGCCACACCAGATTTAGTCAAAAAGCCGCCGGTTTAACTTCTGAGTGTCTTTAAGGTGATCAGGCACCATGTTTGTTTTATTCTTTTATAACGTTTATACGTTTAGTGTCAAAATAATAGTAAGACTGCAGTGTTTGTCACTGAGTCCTTTAATTAAAATGCAAAAAATAAAAATAAAGTCAAATATGTCTTATTTTTCTCCTTACATTTTGATTCAGAGTATCTTAAGAGTGAGACTAAATATGCAGACATGTGAAGGCCTTGGCTGGGACGGATAGAGGGCATGTTACTTTACTCCATGGCACTGCACAACACTATGTTCCACCAAAAGAGCAGAGGTCACAAAAAGTGAGCAAAATAGTTTTTTTAAGACTTAGTTCAAAAAGAAAAATGTTGAAATTTAAGCTGGAATCTGTTTTCGATGAACTAGTTCTTGTGAAGCGTGAACTTTCACAACACTGATGAAACAGAGCAGCTGTACAGGAGCTTTGCAGAACAGCTTTTTATCCTGGGAGGACAGGGCAGGCTTAGCTCATGAGGAAGTTTACAATCTTTTTTTATTCTAAATCACGGGTGCTGAAATGATTTTGCAGGGGGTAATACTGTCCCTTTCATTAACTCTATGGAATGAAATATTACTGCTCCTGTGCATTTAATCATTTTTCTGTTGCTAATGTAACTGTCCGTTGATAAAGCACCAAATATATGGTTATTAGTTTAAATAAAGTTAGCAAATTAAAGGGTCGTTTCTTCGAATTCACAGCAATGGAAATCATTTAGATTAAGGGTTCTGCCCATGCAAAGTGGCTTTTGCTCAGATAATAAGCAAGTTGCCCTGAGGTGGAGTGCAAACCCATGAATCACTAACTGGAATGATATGCGAGATGACAGATGAAGACGGTGTCCTGTCATTTACAGTTTGGGCGGCAAAAAAGAGGGCTAGATTGACCGTGCCTTAAAAATCTTGTTTCATGTTTTTTAAACCATTAAAAAAAAAAAAAAAACGGAGGGAAATGAAAATAGGACACAGATGTACATCTTTTCATATATATATATATATGAGAGAGAGAATGATATTATATATATATATATTTAGGGATATTATATATACATATATATATATAAACATATATATATGTTTATGAAAACACTGAGAACGTGGATGAATCCATGCACAAACACACACAGCTCTTTCCCACATACCCAGTACCCTGTGCCCTCTTCCTCCTCAGTTCTTCCTACAGCTCCTTGTCAGACTTTGAAACTTGATCTGCTAGTTGCCTGGTGACTGCCCGGGGTACACCCCCTCCCTTTATTCTGCCTCTCAATGAACTCCTTTTTTTTGTCCTTCAATCTGAAGGCTTTAAACGACAGGAGGATGCAGGCGGAGTGGAGGGGGAGTTTGGGAGACACACACGTTGCTCATACCTGCCAAAGCAGTTTGAAAGTAAACACGGAGATGTTGAGAAGATTCCAACATTCCATAGTTTTCTTTGAAATGAACAAATTGGTAGAATGGCTAAGCTGCAGTACTGCAGCAGGGCAAATAAAATACCTCCTCACTTATTCTTAACAGTGAGCAAATACAGCTCACTCCAGCACTGATTTTGTGCACAGTGTAGCATCAGAGAATAATCAAATATTCTGCTACCTTGAAGCAACATATAACCATTCACCACAGACAAATGTGTCTACAGCAAAGCCTGGAAGCCATGAAATTAATTCATCCTTTTGCATGGCCTTAAGACAGGGTAAAACACACAGCGGCAGTAAAGACAGACAACAATAGCTAACAATTAACCCTGCATTCCTGGCTGGGGCTGTTGCTGTGCTTCATAGTAGGGTTTAATGATTGACTGACCTCCTAAAAGATGGACAAACATTTGATGGGCGGTACTCAGAGGTCCCATAAAATGAATACCTCTGCTTTCAGGTCAGCGTCTTTCAAACAACTGGGCAGGGCTGGGAAAGGGGAAATGTGCAGGAAGATGATAGCAGGTATGGGGATAACTCCAGGCATTTTCCTTTTTTCTCCCCGTCTTGGATCCACCCGAATCTTCATGGTTACTTATCAATCGGTTATAATCAGAAGTAATCTCATGGAGAAAAACTCCACCATGTTTTTACTTTTTTTTTGTGTGTGTAACCACTGTAATCCTGGTGTGGGCACACATCACGGGGTCCTTGGAGATGATTGTGGCTAATTCCTTCTCTAAAATGCAGCCTATGGAAATCCCACTAGTCCCAGAAGCACGTGGGTGTGTATACATGTTGATTTTCAAAATTCAATGACAGCCCTGCCCCCAGAGCCTACATGGGGGTACTCTGATTTCACTGTCGAACACTTAACCCTTTCCTGTTCTTCCCTCTTGTCCACCACTGCAAAGGGACGGCAGCCCCCCCACCCCCCCAAGCCACATGCTCTAAGGTTACCATAGAGACCAGACCAAGGAAAGCCCGGGCTGTAGGTTTAGATTTAAATTCAGTTGCTGTAGAAACGCTTCATGGCCAAACATGGGTGGAGGCAGGCTGATGACATGGCGGGGTCGGGTCTCTACTGTCAGAAATTTGAAAAATTACAAGCGGTGAAAAACACGCTCGGATTGAGAAAATAAAAAAAAACTCAGGGGGAGTGAGAGACAAATTAATGAAAAGCAGAGGGGGACTTTTCTTTTCAGCTTGCAGACAGACAAAACACCCAGGCTGTGTGCCAAATGTTGCTTTCTCTCGATTTGAATGTTGCATTTTAGTATTGAAATCTCAGGATTTGGCAGGTGTTCAGCTCATGAGTGTTTACACAAAAAGGCTTTTTGTCTTTTGTTTTTTTTGGAGGCCGGATGCATACGACATGAAAATATGCTGCAATAAGTGGAAAGCAGGGGGGAAAAAATGAGGAACTGTCGGTAAAACAAAACAAAACACTATCTTTTAATCCAAGAACAGAACAAGAGGTTACTGTGAGGTTACTCAAATTATGTGCATCGATAATCCACTGACAGCCAGTGAGAGGTTGACCTTTCTGACCTCTTTGCTCCAGGAGACGCATTCATCAGCCACACCCGACTCCCCCCACCACCCCCGGTCCTATATTAATACAATGTCCACGAGTCCTCCTCAAGACACAAACGGCAATAAAGGGAACAGAGAGAAGTGCTGAAACAAAAGGGGCTGCTCCCTAATACGTCCACCTCCTCCTCCTCACTGTTTTTCCTCCAGTGGCTATCACATGACAGCTCCAGTCGATCTCAAAATGAGTCCTTGTTTCCAACAAGTTGGGCTACAGTGCAGCCAAGTGTAGAAAATGTAAACGCTAATCCACCGGTGCTGTTTGAACTCCAGGACGCAGCCTCCTCATATTAGGGAGTCAGGTTCTCAGGCAGTGGGAGGGAGGTTTTCAGGAGTGGTGCTTCTGGCTTCACCTCACTCATCCAACCTCTTATTTCTGCACCTTCTTTTCTAGTGATGCAGCCTTCTATCATCAGAAGGACACATTTTTCACTTCACATGTTCATTACTCAGTCATAATCAACTTTTTTTTAGCACATATTTGGCATTTTCACAGTTTTATGTCTGTACAGCTCTAGCACGATGTTTTTATCTCTGTCGAAGGGATGTGATTTTTGGACTTTGCTTTCCCACTGGTGCTTACAGACAGCCGAAGCAGGGAGCACATCGAACTTCATGTCATACAACAGCAGGGTTAACTGAGGAGGAAGACAGATAATTCTGTTTGGAGAAGCACCCGCTTTGCTTTCCTTTCTCCATCCGTATGTGCATAAGTGAGACAGGCAGAGGTGCATTGTGGGATGTGTTTTGATTTGAATACAATCATAAGTCTGGGACCGGCCCCCTGCCTCTGACAGCTCACCCCTCCCATTCCCCCAAATTTCTCTCTTCAATCCTCCTGTCCCACTAATCAGTTTAACCCTCTTATGAATAGCTCTTTGTCATGAGATAGATTACAGTTAACTCTGTCCCTCGCGCTCCGTACAGCTCTGTTAACCTCCTGCACCAGCAAGCTCACAAAGCTCACGTGCTAATTTCACTACAGCAGCAACTTAGCTTCACACTGAAATTAACCCTTGTACATAATCCCAAAGTTGGTTTGTTTTCAAAAAATGTAATTCTTTTAAATGAAAATCCAGAGTTCAATCCACTCAGACCACACAAGGTCATTTCACTGCTTTCCATGTGAATGATTGGAACAATATCTCTGCAGCAGATCCTCACTTACCATGGATCTAGGCAGTCATCGATTAAGGCATGAAGAAGTAGGGCCGCCTACTGCTCTCAGTTAGCAAACATGAAACACTAATGTTTCAGCGAGCCATTCTTTCATTGTGTCATTGTTGGTCATGCACCATCCTGGTCTAGAAAAACTGGTTTGGGGATCAGTTTCACATTTCAGCAGGACTTTTAAAGCTCTAAAGTAAGACTTGTATTTGCATTTGCTTACCTGTTTAAAATTTAATTCCATCTAAGGCCATAAGAAGAAAGGTTATGGAGATCTGTATTTGTGTAGGTACCTGTACATACGTGAATAGAAATGTGTTGGTGACACATGGCAGATTTAAGTTCTCTCTGGTTTAGAGAGGTCCCACTGAGAGTGAGATAGTGGCCTGCTGAGATTTGGGGTTTTGTCTATTGTCGTTGTAACCTAAGGTCACCTTCCTCTGGCCAAAGTCTCTTCTGATTTACTTCAGCACACAGGAGACATTTGATCTAGCCCTGCAACAGTAAACTATCCTGACAGTGAGGGTCTCGAACATATTGTCTTGCCTAATGCGACTCAAGGCGGCTGTAACAGAGTGTCAGTCACAGTTTATGTGGCTGTTTCCTCTTTGTTGTGAACAGACTGGTGTTTAGCCCCTTGAGGGCATGCTGGGTGTGAAACGGAGAGGAATGAGAGGTGTTCACATTTTAATGATTCACATTCTCTGTGATCCAGACGGACTGGCATCAGTTGCATTCAATGGAGGCTCGCTGATGAGCAGACACACCTCAAATACAGAGTGCAATCTCAAGTACACCTGATAGCATATCAAAAAATTGCTTTTTTAATGGACTGAAAAAGCTTCATGATATCAGCGGCTGGAATTCTTTCATGTCGGCAAACAGCATCAGTGGGACTAAGACATAGCAGCAGACTGAGGAGAGACAGAAAACTGTGGAAAGCTTTTCATGCTTTATTTCACTGCTCACCTCATCAAAGAATAACAAAGAAAATACTGATTTACTGTTGGAAATGTGAGGCTGCTACTGTATTTTTTATTGCTTCTTTGACTTCATAATGTGCACCTGCCTTCTTTTTCCTGTTCTTAGACAAGTCAAAACAAAGTTCAGGAAGTGCTTTGCCGACTAGTCTGTCTCATGGTTAAATCTGAAACCCCACAACATTTTAATTTGAGGGTAGAATACATTAGACCCACAGCACTGACACGCTTCACATGCTGCCATCTGCCTCCAGTGGGAGGGGAGATATGAGGATCTGTGGCAGACAGAGGCAAAGCTCACACCAGACAAGTACACACAAAGGATGAACAGGGCAAAACATGGAGACACCCCAATCTTCTACCCTAACCTTTAACTCTGCTGCTTTCATCATTGTGGATACTTGTGTGTCAGATGAGCGCCCCTAAAGAATGGCACGATTAACACCCTACGGGAGGGTTACCATGCCCAACAAATACAATTCAGTTGCTTTGCAGATAAAACCTGTTTGTAGCTTCGTCATAAAGCTGCAACCAATTTATGAGTATGAAGATTTCCCTCTCTCTTGTACCCCTGCTGAACATTACAGTGACCCAACTGGGACAGTAGAGGATTTTGAGTGTCCTGTCAGCTTTGCAACAGGGAAGGCAGGTTGTGATACTGCTCTTTGTCTTTTGTGTTGTGGCAGACAATGACAGGATTATAGGTCTCCAGCAAGAAAACTCCCATTATTCCCGATGCTTCATCCATCCTCCTTCCAGCACAACAATCTCCCCTTACTGGGTCACCCCTCAGCATACTAATAAAACACTGTCAACAGACAACCAAGCCCCCACCTTCACTTCTAATCCCCCTGTGAGCAGCGTTACTGGTATCCCCCCTTTTTCTACCCCAACCCCCTTTAGCTACTAAAACGCGTCTATTCTCGCCCTTCCCCTTTTCCCTGCTGAACAAATGCTCACAACACAGACGGAGCACCACCTGTAATTACAGGGACAGAGGTTTGGATGGATTACCCATTTGGGGTATTGTTTCATCTAAACATCCCCTCCTCAAGACTTTTTAAATACCAGTCTGAGCTGCTTATGCTTGCCTTTGACAAAAAGAGAGAGATGAGCTACATAAAAGTTAAGTTGCTGTTTAAACCTCAACACAAACTCCGAATGGAGCTCTTTTTTCTCACTGAGAAATTCTTTAGATGCTTGGATTGAGATCTGTGTAAACAAACAAAAAATTGTGAAGAAAAAATAAAGTACCAGACTTGAGGTTTCACAGGCAGCTGAGCTACCACATTTTCATCAGCTTTCTTTTAGAAGCCCCACACTCAACACATCTACATATCTGGACTATGCTTACCTTTATAGTTCGGGTGAACACGAGGAGCATACACTCCAAATTTGATGAGGATGGGGACGTTGTAACCCAGCCTCACCCACTCCACCACATGTAATGGAAAAAGGTTTGGCGTGGTGGCTTCTTTGGATGTAGGAGAGAGACTGCAGCTAAGCTCCGCAGAGCCCCCCTCTCTGGAACGAACCAGCGATGCCAAACCTTGAGACACACCTGTTAAGGCAATAGCATAGATCCAGGTTAAAAAAAAAAGCACAGACGGCAATTTAAAATAATATTAGCAGTGAACAACAATTGGTCATGTTGACTTATCCACATAGACAGCCAAAGGTCAAGTCACAGAACGGATGTTTGGAAACAGTTAAAACACGTAATGAATGACTCATAAACGCTTTCTCAAAACTGATCTGAGATCACTGGCTGAACATGACTTCCTCTCCTGTTAAAAGTTAGGCCACAGCAGAGAGCCTGTCTGACAATCATGTGGCATTTGGTAACAAGATCGTAAGGCTGTGTAAAGCCGGCAAACACATAGCAATCCCATTAGTGACACCTGCAGCAGCCTGTGCTGGCTCTAACTCCTCCATCTCCCTCACTGCCATGTGCGAACATGGGTGTGTGCTCAACTGGGTGCCAGTGTTTGCTCTACTATTCATCTGGCCTGGTGATTACTTTAATCTCAGAGGTGGGGGCTGGTGATGACACTGATGCAGGGCAGCAGGACTCTCTGTGCATGTTGAAGCCGACCTCTCATCACCCCCTGGGGTACACACATGGTCTGCAGACCAGCGCGATCAATCCTACCACCACCTCCCCTTGACAAGCACATCCACAGTGGCGTGCCCAGGGTAGGGGGTTGCATAAATCCAGGATTGATCTAAATCCACACTCAGATATTTTTTTAAGTTGGATTTTGGCCCCATTCTCTTATTTCCAGTCATGTCTGAGCTAACCCCCCGCCCTTACCACTCTCTCTTAACATAAAGCAGTGGCAGCTGTGCCAGATTCATAACATGGTAATGGTGTGTGGATTGTCTGCATGAACTACACAGCTAAATAGCAACATATGACACTAGGTAACAGCTTTGAAAAAATGGGCTGCAGGTCTTGTTGGTGTTGATGAAGAAATAAACTTCTGGTGGGACACATAATAGATAAACAGCAGAGACCAATGGTGAAAAATGACCCAAAATATTTTTTTTAAGCGTTGTGGATAAAGCTTTTTCCCAACATCTAAGACATAACATCAGCATCATGCATCAGCTAAAAATCCCTTTTTATCTGATGCATGATTTTACTGATGACTGATGCTCTCACACAGACTGGTTTCAATTCCTTCACACCATATAGCTGGTATTAAGAAGGCTTTGTTGTCTAGGCCACAATAACACCTGTCAAAATGCTCAACTCTTCAGATTCAATAATGTGGATACATTTTAAAAAGGAATACAAAAAAGAAATTCAAATATTGTGGTGAAATAAACATTTAAAAGAAAAACATAAACAGCTCATCTAAAATCTATAATGGAAATCTATAATGGAAATGTATACAGTGGATCCATATCTACGTTTGCATACTTACTTAGCAGACAGATGGCTACAGCAGTGGTGACAGCCTGAAGCCACCGTCTCTCAAGTCCCATGGCCGTCCGTCACACTCCTTCACACATCTTTCAATCTGAAAAACACGACCACACACGACCTTTACTTTTTTACTTCTCATGGGACACACCACCATAACATTCACCGAACGGCTGCAAAAGGACATCCCTTGCCTTCCTGTTAATCCCTGGAGCTAACATCAACTCACTGCCCAACCAAAACACCAAATTCCAGACGGATAACGATTACCAAGTAAATCTATAATTTGAAAACCAAATATATTTTTTTAAACTGCAGCAGTTGTGCTTGGATTTTGTAACAATTTGCTAATCCATCTTACTACAAACAGTAATACATGCTCACAGCATCCACATGCATCCTGTGGGGGTTTGCATGCAAAAACTAAAGCCAAAGTGTGTGATGTGTGTGTGCGTGTGGGTCTGTGCCTCTGTGTGTGTGTTGCAAAAGAGAAGACGTGCACAAGGCTCTAAGTGTATGTACAGATTAACCTGATGCTTGTGATTGGTCCAGCTCATCCAGAAGGTCTCGTCTCACTGTAAATAGGCCAACAGTAATTGACAGGGGACATGGGCAACATTGTAAGGTGTGCTTACCAAATCCAGATGTTTTCTTATGATCATTGCTTTAAAAAGGGAACTTAAAAAGTACAGACACAGCTATTGGCCGTGGATCTTAACAAAGGCTTAAATTGAGAAAACAGCAGTTCATCTGAAAGGTAAATGGACAAACAAGTCACTCAAGTGCCCCAACAGAGTCCACCGATTCTCTTCTCCTAATGAGCTCCACAAACATGACTCCACTTGAACAAACTGTTGGCCTGCTTTAGAGCTTGAACAGCTGAAGCAACTTATGAGGCCCCCTACTTCAAATTGGATTGGGGGGTAAGTTAAATTTGTTGCCCTTCCAAGTTAATGGAACGCATCACACCTTACACTTAAGTCACTCCATTCAGTCCGCCTAATACCAGCTTATTACTTAAAGTTCATTTAAGTAATATAAGAAGGAGGCTATTCTTAGAAAGCAGACAGGAGTTAGACATTAGCTGCTGATAAGCACAGAGATGTACCAAACAGCCATCTATCCATCCATCCATTTTCTGAACCGCTTTTTCCCAAATGGCGTTGCTGGGATGCACCACACAAATAAATCATTTGGTGGAGACATTAAGTCTCTTAGAAGCAAACAAACATCCCAGAATAGCCCATTTATCTATAGGCTGTTTCTCTTGTGGTCAACAAAGAAGAACTGCAATAACTTCAGTATTGCACTTAAGTTATTTCTTTTAGAAATATTAGAAAGAACAAGTTTATACAAGCCCTGAAGAGGTGTGGGACAAAAACACATTAAGGTTGAGTTGGCCTCGTCGTAAAAGCTGATGAAAAAGGGAGAGGGGCAAAACATTAACAGCTGTGGTCAGAGGTTTGTGTATGACAGTCGGTATGATGGAAGGACTCATCCCACTGTATGAATAATGTTTGCTCATTAGGGGTGCCGGTTTAAACATCCCTCTTTTAAAGGATTTAGCGGATAAATAATAAATCTGTCACCAAATCGTTTATGCGCCACATCCAGCAGTCATAAATCTGAATAAAGTTAACAGCACATCTGTCTAATCTTGCCATCCATCTTCCCAGGCATTTCAACAGCACAGCATCAAAGCTATGAGCATACCTCACCATAGAGTACATCTACAGCAGCAGGTCATATCTAGAATTCAAGGAAACTTTGGGGATTTCAAGAGACATCTCTTCTTTGCTCCTGCCTGCTGCGGCGCGCCTCCACACCAGCACAGACAGACGGACGGAGGAAGACAGGAAGAGAAGGTTTTGTCTACAGGTGCAGTCGTAGACAAGCAGGTTATTTCCTCAGGCAGCAGAGTGGAGCCTGGTCATTTAATTGGCATGTGCTTAGCGAGGACTTTCAAAGGAGTCAAGATCTTAGAGCCAACAGTTAAAAAAAGAAAAAAAACAGAACCACAAAGAAATAATGAAGGGGAAAAAATATTGGATTACTGCCCAAATTTGAGTGTGAGGACATTCATTAAACGATCATGTGGAATTTTTACACTCTAATCTCATAATGTATTCTGGACATGTTCATTTTCAAATGAAAAAGTAGTTGCAGTTAAGTAATGAAATACTCACTTTACAACAAGCAAATAAAAAAGAAATTCCCTTGATGATCAAACTATGTTTACGTCTGCAGCACGTGGTAGAATGTCTCACTGGATTTCACTGACACAAATTGCTTTGGATCGAGTCATGACTTAGCCCTCTGGATGGTACACAAGTGTAATCCTGCTCTCGTGCTTTGAGTGTTAATAGTGTAATTGAATTACACATCAAACTGGTGAGTTAACTGGGGGACAGCCTGCCATCTAACTGTGATCCATCACTCCCGCATGAAGCCTCACAGGACTGGCCCTACTGCGAACACAACGCGGATGATTTACCCACCTGAAAGTTGCAGTTTTTACTTTCACAAACTTGTGGACATTAGAAGTGTACTGTGTATTTAAAAGAAGTTCATTTGTAGGGATGCAGAAACACAGAAGCATCCAGATGTGGTGAATTTTATAAAAAGCTACACTGTGCAGGATTAGCAGTGGCTAATGTGTGGTAATGTGGTAATGCGTCACCATTAAATCAGCCACATGTCTGATACTCTAAGAATTTTTGACACAGTATGTGTGAGGCGTATGTGTTATCCTTTCACACCTAAGAAGATCCATCAGTGATGCCTGTGAGAGATACAGGCCTGACAAGCAGTAGTATTACTCTAGTAATCCTTGTTAATCCTGACTGGTCATGACCTTAGCACAAACCTGTGAGCTGCACAAACTACAAGTGTTACTGGAGAAAAAACTTTCACAACTCGCAATAACACAAGCGGCTGCAGATCCCTGGACTGGAGAATAAGTACTATGCCCAAACCACAGTCCCTAACAGGAGTTCAAACCCTCTGACTGGTTGAACTGGCCTGCATAGTAAAGTCATCAATAAATGGATTTTTCATCCCTTTGACTGCAACCCAATTTAGTAACTGTATTGACATTCCTTTCAACTAAAGGAAATCAGCCGAGTTCACCACCGGCACCGGAGTGGAGTCCCAGTCAACCAGGGAAAGCCTACTGTATATGGATTAACACAGATAAATAAGCTAATACAAGGCGCCACAGAGTGTAACAATAATAACTATTGAGCAGCGGTTGAATGTTTTCAAATCACTCGCCAACACTCACAGGGTTGTTACCTCTACTCTGCACTTTGGCTGAACAATGCTGCATATTATACACATAAACCACCCATGTGCTTCACGCATGAGTAGACTGATTTAAGTTATTTTTCCCCCCCAAGATGATCACATTCATGTAGCTGATGAAAGGAGAGCAGCTGACATTGTTCCTCTAAATCCCGAGCATACCCTACCCCCGTCTCCCAAGAATGGGTCTGTCCCATAAAACCAACTTTAAGACAAGTCCCATAAAACGGCTTTTTGTGGAAAGAAGCTCCTGTGGCCTGAGGTCACAGCCTTTGGAGTCTAGTCCACTGAGATTTTTTGGGGATATGATTAAGACACGAGCAGCTGGTCCAGGACAGGTCTAAAGTGGTTGTAGGTATGCATTTGATGCTTTAGACAGGTTTTCATGTGCGGACAGGGACGTTTCAGACACGCACTAACTTTATTAGATCCACTCCATTATATCCCCCTTTACTGCATTTCTTCATTTATATTTGCATTTTTTTTTCTGAATTTGAACCCTCAAATAATGTGTGTATTCTGCAAACTCGTATTTGAAGAATCCATTTATAGATTCGAGAGCCATTTGACTCTCAGCCAATCAATATCTTCTTGTGGGATCGTCTGCAGGGGAGCACACTGATCTTTTCTTAAAGAATGCAATTTACCAATGAAATACCAGTGATTTCTAAACAATGGACACTGAAGGGGCATTATGTAGTAAAATGACACCTGAGCCTCCGTCTCAAATGCAACAGTCTTTCTGAGCCTCGGCTGCTTGAATTATAATACTCAACACTGCCTTCGAGGATTGAAAGTGAGAAATACAAAACTGATACTGAGCATGGCTATCCAGTACAAGTACAAACAATGCAAAGCCATTTAAGGCACCAATGTCTGGTTTTATTTTGCAAAGGCATATAGACCAGATGCATATGTCAATTACCTGTGTGCTTTTTCCAGCCATTAACAAATATCAGAACATACCAAAAGCACCTCGGCTTATCAGCAGGCAAAAAGGGGAGGAAGTGCGCTAATTTGCAGGAAAATAAACAGCCCTGTAGAATGTAGTTTTCCATTCAAGCACCGAATACATATTAATCTTAAGGCATAAGGCAGCTGGGCCACACTGGTGCAACAATCTTTTGTCCAGCTCATCCCCATCACGTAGAGCTAAGGAATGGGTAATAGTCGTGTGCACTAACAATAAAAAAAACAAGCCCCAAGCCTTTTTTTTCTACAGGGAATTTCTTTTCACATCCCTCTGTCACCACCCATTTATCCTTTAAAACAATACAGATGCATCTCAGACTCCAGGGTCCTGATAAAAAGTGAGAGGAGGCACCAAAATCGAATAAAATATATTTGAAAAGCTGTTTTGCAAGGTGTATAAAACATAAGAATCTGAAAGTGCCTATTCAATTAATCTGACAGACTATGAAACCTCTTCAGATCCGGTTAATATGAAAAAAGACCCACTCACTCAGATTATTGTTGGTGCATGTGCAAACCAAAACATAAACATGGTAACAAAGGGCATGCTGTTTTTGGTGCATGTTAAGAGCGTGGGTTCCTAAAATAATGATCCAACATGGATCAAAGGGACTTAATGTGGGCCCCTCTCCAAATGGCAAAGACATTGGTTAACATTTTTATTTTAAAAACATGAATTTCCGTGCCATGTGGCAAATCCAGCATTTCCAATGTGTTTAGGTCTTGACAGAAACTACTCGTGGGGTGTGTGTGATCAGTGGGCAGGCCTGCAGAGGAAGGCTCAGCTCCTTACCTGCTTCAGGCACTTTACACTGGAGCTGAGATTCTCTCAATCCATTGATGCTCTTCTTCTAAACTCCTCTGGCAGACAAAATGTAATCTTCCATTCTCTTCTCAACAAGGAGAATTGTGATTTAAAGCTGTTTAAGAATAACAACTATACACGTATATATAGACATATAGATATCTATATATACATATGTAGAGGTGACAAAAAAAAAGGTGCAGGTAGTCACATTTTTTCTTTGTAAATCTTTAGGTAGAACAGCAGAAAATCAAATTAATCCAGGACATCCATGTGGATCGGGCTCCAAACTCCAAACTTCTTTCCGCCTTTAACAAAATCCATTAACCCAAATCCCTTTATAATGAGTCCACCATCATCTCATTTAAAGTCCATTTCAACTTTCCACGCAGTTTCCTTTTACGTGCGCAATTGCCTTGGTCCAAACTTGCCCAAAGTCCCAATAATCATGAGTGAGGTTCTCATTTATCTCATAAATATGCAGCCAAAAAAAGAGCGTCAGGTCTCTGTGGTGCGCGTATAGCTTTACGCGGCAGGGTTCATCGCAAAGAGAAGCGTAGAGCAGCACGTTGAGTTGGTGCCCTGCTGTTGACGCTTTTCCCGTAGTGACCCTCCCCTCATTATCATTCCCTCCTCCCCCTTTCCGTAGAGTGCCCTGAGCACAAACCTACGGCAGCACACCATTTCCTGTCTCCCCTTTCAAAATCAAACGCAAAGCTAGAGCCATAAAACAAATTAAAATAAATTACACATTCAAATTTTAGTTCATTACAGTTAGATTTGGCATTTTCCCAGTTGTTTCTCTCAGTCTTTCTGAATCTAGCTATTAGACAAAATAACCAAAAACATTCTGAAAATTAAAATTAAAATACAAATAATACCACCAAATAATACTTCAAAATCATTCTAATGTTACTAGTGGGTATTGTGTTTTTTTTTAATAAACTCTGTAAGCAAGCCAAGACATCCACTGGTATCAAAAATGACCAAACCACTTCCAGGCCAACGCCTGCTAATTTCTTTAAGTTTCAACCTAAAAAGACTTGAAATAGACGTAGCAACCTAACAGCAACACTGATGGCACTCTAGGCTTCAATTTCTTTTAAAACACCTTTTTCCAATTTTCTTCATTAACCTGCTGGTTTCATCAACTCCAAATTAAACAAATCTTTAAAAATCTGCAACATAAATGACAAATCAATGACTCTGTCCCACCCCTTTATCTGTGTTCTGTGCATTGGAGATCAAAGCAGAAAAGATCAGGACAACCCAGAAACATTTTCTTTTCAGGTACCCCCCCCCCAATTACACCATTTAAATATATATGTCAATTAGGTACTGCCTATATCTAAGATGCATCTTTGTATGAATTCAGTTTAGCATGTAGTATTGGCACGCGTTAACCTCATGCAATCTGAAAAACTTTTCCCAGGGGAGGCCCATGCGTATCCTCCCTGCCGGCTGTCCTGGAGGACTCGTCTCTCCGTGATCCCCCCCTCCTCCAGGTCTTTCTTGGAACAGAATATCCTTTTGAATAATTGGCACAGCACGCCTCGGAGATTATGAACAGGAGGACGGAGGATCAAGGAGAACAGGGGGCTGAAGGTAGAACAAGAGATGAGCCTGAACGGTGGTGGTGGAAACGTTGAGTGAAGTTAATGTTATTTTAGCGTTGAAGGTGGAAAAGGCCACTTCCGTTAGTTTCCCTGCCGCCGCTGCCCGGCTTTACAAGCTGCTGCTTTAGCGCCTCAAACAAAAGCGCCTTTTCGGTGGGAAAAGACCGTGTTCACTAACAAAAGGCCACTATCACACGTCTGCCACAGACCCTCTACTGACATGTAGTCAAAATGTGCCTTTCGACGTCAGCACAACTTTTGCTGTGTGTTACACAGAAGAGGCAGGATGTTTTCTAAGTTATTTTGATCATTTCCAATCCACAGAAAAGGGTGTGAGCACACATTGAAAGCCTCTCTATGATGTATTTTTTCACCTGGGCAAGATAGATTAACACAAGTGCAGCCAGTTTATACGTTTCTTTAGTATATTTAGTTGTGAGTAATGTCATTTTACTTTATATTCCAACCTAACAGGGGGAAAACCATCACAGAAAATTAAATCACACAATTATTGGGCAAATAGTTTGCCATTAGCTAAAGGCAAAGCTAGCACGAGAAGCTAGAATTTCTCTATTCAGTACAGTAATGATACTGTCCTAATTTATTACTGCAGTCTTAATTTTAGAAACATTTACAAAATCTTGTAACTTTTGTATAATTGAGGAAGCGAAGGTCTTGCCCTTCAGTTTTCTCTTGTTTCCATTTGCACTTTAGCAGACTAAAACGAGCTGTGCCATTAGCATTGGTTGTATATGTTTTCAAACCATTTTCCTGCCATTGAATCAAATTTAATCCGACAAATTGAATACAATTATTTATTTGTCGTTGATGACAGACAGTGAGGGGTTAAAAGGAGACCAAAAGCTGTACATTTGGACAGTTTCTCGTCATCTTACCTTATAACCACTTCTTGTGATGTCCCGCTAAAACGTGTTGAATGTCATGTGGAAGCTAAGATAATAATAAATCTATGACTTGGTTCAGGTCCGTTACTTTTTAGATTTACATTATGGTTTAAAGCAGCCAATCCAGAGCCAGAATAGCCACGTCTATGACTACGTAATACCCCTGAAACTACAGACTGGTTTACTGGAAAGACAAAAGAACCCCGATGAGACCCAAGCATAAATATACTTACAAATAAAACATGTTTATATTATGGCTTAGATTTACGTTTTCATTAGTGATTCATGGTGATTGTGTGACCATGACAAACACCAAAATGATCCACACTTTTTGGATACCCATAAACCTACCTCCACTCCTGCAATAATGTGCAAGGTGTTCTTCTATGTTGCTGAGCCTGAGTTTGCATGCATGCAGGACACACTCTAGTCCCTGTGTTAGAGGTTTGGCATTCGAAAAGCTCTTAAATAATCATTTTTAAAAAGCTATAATTTAAGGGGTAAAAGGTTTCTGAGCTGATTTAAAGTGCGTAATCTGATCCGGCTAATACGAGGTACTCTATGGTGGTGTCTGATTATGTCGCACATTTAATAGAGAGAAAAAGCAAGTAACCGAATTATCCCCCTGCTGAACAGCGGGTTGCCCAGTATCTGAGGGGATTATTAAGGCCCAACCTTTACCAGTACTGCATTCTAAAAATGGCATTACATTTCAATGCAAACCCAGATGGTAACCTGTCACAGATATATCGAAATATGTTAAAATTGCAGAGTTGGTAGCTGAGAGTAGAGAGGGAAAAAGTTTGAGAGCAGCAGAATGTCAGTCCTCATGTTGAGCCTTAATTGCTTGTGTAGCTCCCTGTTTGACAATGTTTACTCTCACACACTAGGAGCGCCATATGGAGATCAAAGGATTGGAATTAATTACGTGAAATCCTCCAAGAAAGAACAAATCTGAAGAGGTACAGAGCATTTGCAGAGTAGTCAGGAAAACTCTGTAGTAGAGATTATATGGGTATTAGTCTATTATCTATTTTCACACACAGGGATACAGGCACATATTACCCGTAGATATGTATTATAGACCAACTCAACCAAAACAGTGTTGCTCTTAAAGACAAAAACAACTGACACTTAAATGTTGACATTGATCATGTAATTGATGACATCTGATCATTTTTAACTGTGAGAATAAGATAAGATGGCATTAGGCACACGTTAAATAATTCAGGTTTATTAGTTTAACAAGCAAGTCAAATACACATTAAATACTACATTTTGATAATCTGGCGTGAGCTATTTAGTATTAAAAAACTAAAAGAGGAGCGCTGATTTACACAAAAAAATGATAATTTTATTTAGCTACTTTAAATTGAGTACAATCAAAAATGCACCTAAGTACAGAATGTCTGTGGCTGAAGCTTTAGTGTGATTCAGTCATCAAAGTCTGGGATGTCATCATAGGAATACCCCGGGTAGCCCTTGAAAGCGTAGTAAGCTATCCGTAGGTGGTAAATTCCAGGCAGGAAGACAAGGATTCCAATTATAAGGACCGGCACAGTTCGGTCTGAGTGCTGACAGAGAAAAAAAACACTTCTTTAGCCTAAATGTGACAGATACAAAACAGCATTTTACAAACAATAACAAAAATGAAAAGGTAAACATGTCTGCTTTGTGGAAGTACTCACAGTGACTCCAAAGTATCCAGCCAGAAGAAGAGCGCCGATGATGATTAACAGAGAGCCGATTAAGAAAAGCACTGCTGCAAGAGCTATAGCTTTGTACGGGACTTTGGGTGGACTCTTTTTGAACTGAAGAGGAAACAAAAGTTTACTTATAGACTTTTGCACAACATATAGGGTCTTTTATGTCTCACATGTGGATTATATCAACAAAATGCCATAACTTGATGTTATAATATGTAATCATATGTATATATTGGTTTTCCATTCCAGGCTTTGCCATTATCACCCCCCAAAAAACTGTAAAAATAAGATAAAACATTTTTTTTCCACCTTTTAAATGCTGTTTAATTTGTGATACTACACACTAGACTGCCTGTAAAAAAAGAAATGGAGGAGCATTAAATGAGTAAGAGGAATATAACACTGATCATATCATTACTTTTATTGCATTTAAGTAACCAAAACAAGGAATTTATAACCCAGAGATGCTTTTTTTTTTTTTAAATGTGATGCTAAAACTGGAGGAAAAACTCTTCTACTTCAAACTTTGTATGAAACAAGCATGTGTCACATTAAACTGATAAAAACTGACAACAATTATTTAAAGTGGTTAAATAGCAGGCTAGAAGACATAAAATTACTTCATTAGATGCATCCACCCTTGGTTGATCGCTCGATTGGATAAATCTGCTTTATTCTTTATTACAATTCTCATATAGAAGGCTAAATGAAAAAGAGAGAACAGCTACATCCTTCTGCTTTTCATTATATCTCGGTATCAGAGCGAATATTAACAAGTAGTCATATGTCTTACTTTAAAAGGAAGCATAATACATGGTGACCCTAAAAACTTGAATTTCAATTTCTTGAATACTTTAGAGATTAAGTGGGTTGTCCCATATTTAAACAATCCTTAATTTATCAGGACTTTAATCCCAAAAGTTTATTCAGTAAAACCTTTTAAATGTTTATTTTCTGATCACATAATCCTTGTTAGATTAGAAAAAAATAAGAGGGAAATTCTTATAGCCTGAAATTAATGTTAACAACTATTTTGGTTTCAAATGGTTTTCTACAAAAAGAAATCAATGTCCTTCATAGACAAAAAATCAAATCGCTTAGTAAACAATATTTAAGTTACAGTTCAGTGCTCTCAAAAAGAGAGGAGTTGGTATATATGTTTATTTTAGCATTACTCCAGGCTCTGAAAGTAATACAACATAATCCAAACATATCTGTTGTTAATTAGGGTGTTTTAAGAGAAGTAAACTTAAAAAGTTATATTATAGTAACTAGGGATTTGTTTTCAGGGTGTGAGCCATTTTTTAAATGTTGTGAATGAGGACAATGGCCCGCTGTTCCTTGTTTTCACACATGTAGAGTAAGTCTAAAACAAAACACACACGCACACACTGTTAAATCACCAATAATAGAAGGCCTAAATCAAACAATCATAACTGAATACCAATGATTAAGAATCGTTGTTCTCAATCAAATTCTCGCGTATTTTTGTTCCTAGTACAGTTCTGTCTTACCTGTAAATCAATGTAGCCGTCATCGTCAGTGGCTAACCTGGAGTACCTAACTTTGCTGTTAGGAAAATCATGGGACACAATATTACGTGCAGGCATTTTTCTTAGCAGCTCAGGAGCTTTTTAACTGTTTGCTGACAGTTTGTTAGACGAAACACAGCGGGGAAATATTTAACGACGCGGTGCACATTATTAATCAACCACTGCTGAGATGTCCTTGCTATTATGTATATAAAATATAACGAACAATGATAAATATGGTAGTTTCAGTCTCTGAAACAGATAAAAGAGTAGTCTTGTATTTTTCCAGGAGCTTCCGCGTTGACCATATGCACCGATTGGCTTTGCGCATGCGCAATTTCGATTGCCGATATAATCTGGTTTTACCACATTGATTATGTTTTGTATGTTATCTCCCAAATTCAAATACACTTAATGTAATCGCAAAAAGTATATATTTTATTTTTTATTTTGAGAAATTGTTTTACAAATGCTGGCTTCCTCTCCCAATTTTGACCACAAGGGAGCGCAGACGAGTCTTATTAAAATGACCGGGTCAAGTCTGTGAGCCGCGTAGTGACCCTCTGGAGTCAATATTCATCTTCGTGTGTGGATGTTCATTTCCTGAGGTGTTCTCTCAGGACAACTCTGTAATCACACTTTGTTCTCTAGAGATAATGTTTCTGTCTAGCCTGCAGATTTTTGATGCAATTTCATGAAACCAAAGCTGAGACACTCCTACAAAGGCTGTTTTTAGCCACAGAAATGCGAGCTTCTACATCACACACATTGTTTGTTTTACACACTCACAAAAACATATACTAAAAAAAGAAATTAAGAGCAGTCACTGAGTCAGCTTGATGCAAACATTCAAATATATTAGTAAAGGGGCACCTTGATGTCAAGGCAGGGTTTCTATTATCAGTTATTTTGAGACAAAGCCATACATATATATATTTGTGTGTGTGTTTAATTAAGTGAAAGTTGGCAGCCATCTCTGCCAGATTGTGTCACTTTACTGGTCATGCAGAGCAATAGGTTCTGGGAATAGCACAAAAGTACCAGCTGCAGATAATCGCCTTGATATGAATAATTGAAACTGGACAGTGGGCAGTCATATAGACACATACAAAGTCTCCTTTTGGCTAAATAAGTCGTGACTGATCATTATAGCAGTTGCTGACCTTGGCTACACACAGCTGTGTTGTGATTCACAGCTTTATATAAGTGATCTCAAATCCTTAAAACCTAAACCTCTGGATGTAACAGTTGCCCTTTTTTTGTTTCAGGGGACTCTTTGTTTTAGAGGGAATCTGATCTGCCCGTATCAAAAACTGCAGTGGACAAACACAAAGTAATTTATGAACCATACATGGCTGCTTAAACAATTGATTTTTACAGAGATTTGACATGACTGTGTGTCTATCTTTAGTTAACAACAATAACACAGATAAAGTCCTCCCTTTGCTTTCATTATAAAGCTATTTTCATGCTCTCTCTTGCATATGAAACTCTGTGCTTAATGTCAATAAAACAAATCTTGAATGTTGGCTCTTCTCTTTAGTGCCCGTCAATGATGTGTCAACTGGGGCATCTTTCTTTGTGTCCTAAATGGTTTTCCTCTTATCTGTTCTGCCTCCTCACTCGGATGCTCAATACCTACAATCAAGGACACTGCACAAGCCTCTTACCTCCACTCAGACTGAATTTAGAAACATGGCATTTAATTTGTCTGCCTCATCGCCTCAAAACAATATGCAAGACCGGATACATTTGCAATTATTCTACATTGATAAATTCGGAATGAAGGGGTTCTGAAAGGGTACACTGATAGAATAATTTATCTGTAAGCAAAGATGAGCCTCCCCTCTGATACTTTTCTGACGATTTTTCATCTTTCAACTAAATGTCTTTGTCAAAATACACCAGCTTCACTTTTTAAACAGGTTTTTACATAAAATTATGAATGACATCATTCTTCTCAATATAAAGAGTAACACTGGCCCAGCAACATCTGGATATGTGATTAATTAAGCAGATGATTGGCACCAGTCAGAGATGGACAGACTGTGTTCTCATGTTAGATAATCCCTGTCATGATGACTGCACAGAAAAGCATTAAAGCAGATGAGCACTGTCAGCCCCGAAGACGAATGTGTTACACATCTGTGTATTTGCATCTATGAGTCGAGAAGACAGAAGCAAACCCCACCTCCTTTTACTAGCACTCAGTATGACACTAAAGAGTAACAGTGCTTCATTTAGGCCATAATTAGAGTCCTGCTCATAGTGGAGTTAATTGGGTCTGTCGTCATTACAGCAACTGCAGATAGAACCATGCCTAGAGCCTGATAAAAGCCTCAAGCATTATACCACTAGAGCATCATACAGTCTCCCTGTGACTAAGCCTTTCTACTTGTGGAGCCACCAGGTTACAGAAATGATCAAATGTATCATGTGGGTGGAGCACAGGTGCAGCTGAGCAATGAGATTTTCAAAGTTTAAAGCAAGCTCAAACAGTCTAATATAATTGCCATACCTGATTTCCATACCAGCTGTGCATACGTTTGGAAAAGAAGGAAATACTTTAGCTCATTTCTGGTTTTGCTTATATGTGTGTGCTCAAATCTCAAACACAGCTTGAACGGTTAAATGGATGGCATTCTGTCCTCGGGTGAGCCCGTGACCTCTGTTCATGTAGAAATATCTGGACAACAAAATGATGGATTTGTTGCCTGAGTAAATCCACTTTTCTGGGTTGCAATCCTCCAGCCTTTTGTTGTCATGTGTACTTGATGACTTTAAGTATAGTAAATGTTCTCTTCTCTCTCATTTAAGATGAGAAAAAAATTACATAAAGATGCATCTCGGCTTCATCACCATCTTTATATTGATGTTACATTAATCACTAATATATTTAAATGGCTTTTTAATGTGTCCTTAACTTCAGTGAACGCTGAATGAGAGTGCCCACTGCGGATTTAAGCCATATCGGGTTCCTGTAAGTGATTGAGAGCAATTCATTACAAAGGGGTCTGTCAGCTTTGATCAAATCACAGGGTGCTGTCGCTTGGCCCAGTTCATCAGGGGGGTTATGTCAGATATTTGATGATGCGATGCTCACGCCATAATATGTCACCACTTCGTGTCATACAGGTTGGCTGTACCAAGACACACTGATAAGTCTTGAAATCCATTCCACCGCCTCTGATGGTTTGCTTTTTAATCCATCTTTCAGGTGTGAGCCTCCAGTTACTCTGAGTGTGGGTGGACAGCTGACTGCAGCATCCTGAGGAGCATCATCAGCATGATGACAGAATCTATCACCTCTCTTCCGAAATGTCAACTCAGTTTGTTCATTCAGCTTATAATAAATAAATAAAGGAACAAAAACTGTAGACCAGCGGTTTGGATTGGATTTCAACAGTATGATGGAAACATAGAACACAAAGCTATTGTTTCCAAATGTTCCAGAGAAATGAATGTAAATCCCTGTGTAAGCTGCAGGGCAATGTTAGCTGTCTCCACTAACATTATGTCATGGCTGAAATCTGTACGTGCCACCCTTTTTTGATAAGCTTTTGTCAAAATTAGATCTACCAAAGGAGAAATGTCTTGATAGGCAATTAAACTAAATGTCACTCTAAATGCCAACATTAGCTGCAATCCCCAGCTCTGGCTTGTTTCCTCTGTGGTAGGAAATGAGTATTCCGGTGCAAAGTTATTGTTTTCAGTATGTTTCAAACACACCATCCCGTCTCACGGCATGGTCAACTCAGACAGGTATAATTACTTTTGAAACCAGCAGCACCACAGACTCTAACAAGGTGCAAGTTGAGAGAAATTAGCATGCAGAGGACTAACGTGAGAAACATTTCACTGCTTCATTATTTCAATCAATTGTCTTTTTAAGCATGGATTTTCAAGGGTTTGTTTTTATTACATAACAGGATTACGCAATTATTGAATAATTATCTCAAATAGTGGTTTACTTGCTGTGATAGTGCAACACAGTCATGCATGCACGATGACAGACCTCACGCCCTTACTTGTTATTACTATTCACATTTTAAATCACTGTGAAAATTGTTTTTTCAATTTGAAAGAGGCTAAATCTGCGACCGTTGTTTAATTGAAATTCAATTTATTGTGCACACAGAAAGGAAGTCTCTCTTCATACTACTCCGTGCCTTTTGCCGTGTTTGTAAATTTAGGGACTTCAGTGGCGTGCTGGTGATTTTGCTTTTGTCATGACAAAGTCGATTTTTTTCCCCGGGATAAAGCAGCAGGTAAAAAGACAGACTCTGTAAGATGAAAGTCGTCATTGATTGTGAGTGAAAGCTGTTGTCTGAATGGTCCGCCGTTTGTTCCATGGATGAGCTTGGCTTCTTGCCCTCCAAGCAGTCGGCATCCCCAGGTCAAATCTCTATAGCTGCTTGAAAATAACAATGAGTACTCAATCAACCGAGGACTTCACCACATGGGGAAAAGAAGTAGCAGCCCCCCCCACACCCTTCCCCTCTACCCCCCAAAAAATCAATGGATAGTGTGACCCATGTGTGCTTGTTTGTGTTTGCTTCATCTAGTTTATTTGAAAATTGATATAATGAGCATCCAGTGAAATTGCTCTATAAGTATCACTCAGAATGGTTGGCTAAACCTTAAAATAATATAGCTGACTCCCACAACAAATTATTTTAACGCTCATAAATAATCCTGTTTGTACTCGGAGCCACAGTTTAGGTTTTATAGTACAAACACAGCAAAAAGGATTTATCACAAGCTCTTAAAAATGTAAATCTTTGATCTATTCTATTCTTCTATTCTAGTCTTGTTCAAATTCAGGTCCATTGTTACTGGATCACTGTAAAGGAAGAGAAATTAAGCAGACAAGACCGAAAGAGAAAAAAAGCTGAATTTAAGCTCAAATTCAAATCCGTTCTACATATTGTCCCTTTTATGAGTGACAGTCTTTGTCAAAGTTTTAAAGCTTCAAAGTTAAATAAAGAGCTGACAAACAAAGAGTTTCTAAGGCTGAGTCTGGTCTGTTTCTTTGTTTTTCATGATGAGTGATTTAGCTGAGGAGCCAAATGAGACTAGGTGTTCGTGAGACATTCCAGGTGTCAATACTAATGAAAGCCTCTTTCAACTGAGAACACAAAGCAGGCGTATTGCAGAAAGTTTTTATGTGGCTTAATAAACTATTTTATAAACTATGTATGAACTGTGCTCAGCAAAGCCAAAAAGCCAAGATGATCATGAAAAGGACCACTCAAGAAGATTACTTCAGCAGAGAAGAGCTACTTCACAACATTTAGCCAAGCCAAAAAGAGCTTTTTCTTTTTTTA